TCCCCGCTGGCAAGTGGACATCCCCTGAGGGCTGCCAGGCTGCCAAAGGGATGTCTGATTGCCATCTTAGGCCCAATCCCCCTGGGAGCAGGCCGAAGCCAGCAGGTGGTCATCCCCTGAGGGGTCCCAGACTGCGAGAGGGCACAGGCGGGCTGAGGGACCCGCCCCCTGAGTGCACAAATTTTTGTGCATCGGGCCTCTAGTACTTACATAAAAGCCAAGCGACTGGAACGCTGGAACAACTGGTTGCTATGATGCGCACTGTGGCAGCCAACCGCCTGATTGGGGCCCAATCCCCCCCCAACTGCCCGTGGCCCTTCCTCCCATCCAGCCACCCCCAATCGGCCTCCCCTGCATCCCTTCCCCTCCCTCCCTGTTGGCCCAGCTCATTCAGCCCTGATTGGGGAGGGCTGGTCGGACCCCACCCATGCACAGATTCATGCACCAGGCCTCTGATTTTATATATGCAAAAATCATCAAAAAACATTAGCAAACTAAAAAAAAAAAAAATTAACAAACTAAACCTAACAGCACATTAAAAGGGTTATACATCATGACTAAGTGGAATTTATCCCAGATATTCAATGCTGGCTCAACTTATAAAAATCAATTAATGTAATATACCATATTAATAACTCAAAGGGAAAAGCAAACAATATCAACTTAATTGAAACAGAAAAAGCATTTTATAAAATCCAACATCCTTTCATAAAATACTCAACAAATTCAGAATAAAAGGGAACTTCCTCCACCTGACAAAAGACATTACAAAAAATCCATAGCTTACATCAGAGTTAATGGTGAAAGAATAAAATCAATAAAATCTTTCCCCCTAAAATTAGGAGCAAGACAAATGTCTGCTCTTGGAACTCCTTTTCAACACTGTACTTGAGATTTTAACAAAGGCAATTAGGCAAGAAAAAGAAAAATCAATGATGAGAGAGAATCATCTGTCGGCTGCCTCCCATATGACACCTACTGGGAATCTAGCCTGCGACCTGGGCATGTGCCCTGACACGGAATCGAACCATGACCTCCTGGTTTATGGGTTTGATGCTCAACCACTGAGCAACACCAGCTGGGCAAGTGCTATTATGTTGTAATTTCAATTTTAGGTTGTATATTGCTAGTGTATAAAAATACATCTGCTTTTTGTATATTGACCTTGTATTATGCAACCTTACCAAAAGTATTTGTTATCCCTAATAGTCATTTTGTGGATTTATTACCGGTTTTCTATATGTAAGATCATATCATTAGAATATAAAGGTAGTTTTACTTCTTTCTTTCAGTTCTGGATGTCTTGTTTCTTTTTCTTGCCTAATTGCCTTTGCTAAAACCCCAAAATCATTAAAAACATATTAAAAACACACACATAATAGTACCTGAAATAATAAAATACTTAGGAATAAAATTAAGAAGATGCATACTGAAAACTCTGAGACATTATTGAAAGAAATTAAAGACCTAAGTAAATGGAAAGACATCCATTTTCATAGATTGGGAGACTTAATGTTGTTAACATAGCATTAATCTACACATCCAATACAATCCCTATTTAAGTCCCAGCTATCTTTTTTGCAGAAATTGATTTTGGAAAATGGTACTAAGATCAGTCAATGGGGAAAACAAAGTCTTTTTCACAAATGATGCTGGGACTATATATACCCATGCAAAAGAAAAAAATTGAACTCAACCTCTCTTCGTACACAAAAATTAATTGGAATGGATCAAAGACCTGAATTTAGAAGATAAAACTATTACTCAGCTAGAAGAAAATATAGGTGTAAATCTTCAAGGCCTTGGATTAGGTAATGCTTTTTTATATATGACACCAAAAGAATAAGCAACCAAGAAAAATACAGATACAGATAAATTAGACTTAATAAAAAATACTATCAAGAAAGCTAAGCCAGGAGTGGGGAACCTATTTTTCTGCCAACAGCCATTTGTATATTTGTAACATCATTTGCTTAATATAACTCACTTAATATAAATTTATGTTGCTATGAAAAAAGCTCCTAGATTTATTGAATTTTGAGTCCTGCCAGACCAAATGATTGGCAGGGCCAAACTTAATGATTTTGAGGGCCTTATATAGCCCTCTGGCCAGGCATTCCCATCCCTGGTTTAAGTTATCAAGTTTGTGATAGTTACAACAGCCTTAGGAAACATAATACTAGTATAGTGTAAGAAGAATCTCTTTGCATTATTTCCTGCAAATGCATGTGACTTTACAATGATCTCAATAAAAAAAAAAAGACTACCACATGTCAAGCAATATTTGAAGTGCTGTGGCAACAAGAGCTACTGCACTCATAGAATTTGCATATCAGGAGGAGAGACAAATAAACAAGGGAAAAATGCTTGTGTTAAACAGTGATAAGAGCTAAAGAGAAAAAAAATAAAGAAGGGAAGAGAGATATGAAGTATCTGTGGTGGGGACAGGGAATAAATTGAAATTTTAGGATAGCAATGGAAGGCCCCATTGGGAAGACAACTTCTGAATAAAGAGCGTGACCATGCTGACAAAAGAGGGAAGAGTGTTCTAAGGAGAGGGGGGAATAATTCCACTTATGAATCCCTGATTTTAAATCAGTGCTCTCATGTAAGATGAATGGGGTGTGGTATGGTGTGGGGTGTGTGTGTGTGTGTGTGTGTGTGTGTGTGTGTGTGTGTGTGTGTGTGTTGGAAAGGTACTGTAGAACCTTTCCAACCTTCTCCTTTGCTCACTCTACTCTAGGTGTACTGGTCTAGCTGTTCCTTAAAGAGGCCAAAAATACTATTGCATCAGGGCTTTTGTTTTTTGTTGTTTTTTTATGGGCATTTTTAATCCTCACCGGAGGATATTTTTCCATTGATTTTTAGAGTGGAAAGGAGGGATGGAGGCAGAGAGAGAAAGAGAAACATTGATGTGAGACGATTGGTTGTCTCCCACATGCACCCTGACCCGAGTCTAGGATAGTGCCATAACTGAGGTACATGCCCTTGACCGGGAACTGAACCCAGGACTCTTCAGTCCATGGCCTGAAGCTCTAACCACTGAGAAACCGGCTAGGGCCTGCATGAGGGTGTTTTATTACCTACTATTCCTACTGCCTTTAACATTCTTCCCACATGGTTCACTACCTTGCTTCCTTCATGTCTCTCCTCAAATTTAATCTTGCCAATGAAGCTTCGCTGAACATCATATATTAGCCACCTTCCTCCCCACTACTTTGGACCTCTTTACTCTGATTTATTTTCCTTCATAGAATTTTTCACCATTTAGTATACCATATGTTTATCAGTGTACTCATTTCTATCTATTATTTTCCCAATGGAATATAAGCTGTATGAGGACCGGGACTTTGCCAATTATGTTCACTTCTGGCTCGCTGAGTGATTAAAACAATGTCTAGACATATAAGATGCTCTCTAAAATGTGTTCAATCAATAAATATTCATATGTGTGTATTAGATCAAGCTTGTTAACTGTTCAATCATTTTACTTTAAATTTTTTCCCTAATATATTAATTATTCAGAGAAACGTTATGGAAGATTTGGAAAATGTTTGTAGTTTTGTCAATTCTTGCTTTTTAAAGAGTGAGTCTATTGTGAGTTGAGAGCAAGTTCAAAATTGTTATCTTATTGGTTAACTGTTCTTTTTGTCATTAGCTAATTACCTTATCCATAATAATGCTTTTTTTGGCTTTAAGGTCTATTTTATCTAATATTCCATAGTAATCCTATTCAGAGAAATAATGTATGCCTTAAAGCCAATCAGTTCCTTCTCAAATTGTATATTATTATTTTTAATATTCTGATTCCAATGTTGTTTTTATACAGTTCAATTAGATTTATCCACCAATTTATATTCTTACATTTGGTTCCTGTAACCCACTTCCCCTTTCTGCTTTCAACATCCTTCTTCACAATTATATCCTTTATTAGTTCTTAGTCTTATTTTTATAAAAATGTTTTATTTTGCTGAAAGGGAATATAGCTGAACATCCACAATTGTGGTAAAGCAGTATGAAATACTGACTTAAGAGGAGCAACTCATACAATGACAATACTTATCTCTGTACGGCAGTAAGCAAAATAAAATACAAAAGGAAATAGATTAGAAAAATATCCAGCCATCTAACTTTCTAAATTAGGTCTCATTAAAAGGAATAAAATAGAGAACAATAAAAAATAAAAATTAAAAAGGAAAAAAAATAAATTAGGTCTCAGCATGAATTTAATCAATTGTGATACATACGTGTGCAAATTTTTAGAATAGAGGTAACAATAATGCAAACACTAAATTTCAGTTTTAAGTTACATTTAATTTTAAGGAAGACAGGACATATTTTAAGATTTGTACCAATGAAGAGACATAGAGGAAACAGTTGTAATAACCTTTAACAAAATAATATGAAGAAAGGTGAACACAAATGAGTTTGAACCCAGAATAGAAAAAGCCATTCACTGTTCCCCGTAAAAGGCAACAATGTAATATTTGCTAATTTTATAACTGACATGTTGCATTACATTGTTGTAATGTATTCTGATAAAGATAATGAAAAAGCTTGCTTGTCAAACCTTTGTTGCCAAGGCTGCTGGGAATGGATGACAAATACAAAAAAATTCTATCAAGTTGAAGTGATGCAATGGCAACAAGTTAAAAAATATACCAAAAGTAATTAGGAAGATCATATGAAATTTTCCATATTTCAGGTTTCATAACTGAGTGCCTCAAGCCAATTAGCAGACTTATTTCATTTCTCATGGTTTAAGCATTTCACTCATACCCTACATCAAAGAAAATTTACCTTTTTATTCCCTGAAATGTACTGCTAGCCATGTCTATGATTCCTCCAGTTGGCCTTGCCACTGCTCCAACTAAACCTTTCCCAACACCTTTAAAGAAACCAGCTGCTCCTTCTTTTTGAGCTCCTAGAAATAAAAAAGACAAAGCTTTATGCAATTAGATTAAGAGTGAAAATTGAATCAACTTTTGAAACACTTGGTAATATATATTACCTAAAGAAACTATTATACTTGCCTTTGATTGGCTTTGTAACAATTCCTGTTATGCCACTTACAAAACCCTAAAAGGAAAGCACAATTGAAAATTTGTAATACTTTCACACACTGCCTTGACGAACCAAATCTGGTTTACAAAAAAGTAAAAATACAGAGTTGTGCTTTCTACATACATAAGAATTAATGTATTTCCTAAATATTTTATTTAAACAGAATGCTTTTGGAGATTACTGACATATTTTACATAGGCCACAACACACTACTCCTCCAACATGCAAATAATACTTGACGGAGTGTAAGTTACATATATATTTCCTTATTTAAAGAATATGGCTTTAAAATATATTTCTTCCCAGACAGCGTGGCTCAGTGGTTGAGTGTTGACCCATGAACCAGGGGGTCATGGTTTGATTCCCAGTCAGGGCACATGCCCAGGTTGTGGGCTCAATCCCCAGTAAGGCAGCCAATCAATGATTCTCTCTTATCACTGATGTTTCTCTATCTCTCCTTCCCTCTCTCCATTCCTCTCTGAAATCAACTTAAAAACCCCCACAAATCTTTAAAATAATTATCTATATCTATCTATCTATCTATCTATCTATCTATCTATCTATATCCTACATAATAAAAGGCTAATATGCAAATAGAGCAAACTGTGAAACGACGGGTTGCTACAACCAGCACTGACCACCAGGGGGTAGATGCTCAATGCAGGAGCAGTCCCTGGGTGGTCAGTGCACTCCCACAGGGGGAGCGCCACACAGCCAGAAGCCTCGCACAGTGGCGGTGGCAGGAGCCTCTCCCACCTCTGTGGCAGCACTAAGCTGTCAGCTGGACATCCCCCGAGGGCTCCTGGACTGCGAGAGGGTGCAGCCCGGGCTGAGGGACCCCCCAACCCCCTCACCAGTGCACGAATTTTGTGCACCAGGCCTCTAGTGTATATATATAAAAGGCTAATATGCAAAATGTCCCCTCGGGAGTTCAACCAGGAGACCGAGAGTTCGATCGCTCGCTATGACATGCACTGACTATAAGGGGGCAGTTGAGGAACAAAGGAAGGCCCTGACCGGCAGCTGACAGCCAGGAAAGGAAGGCCCCAGCCAGCAGCCAGAAGACCCCAATCAGCTGATCGCTGGTCAGGCCTAGGGGCCCTACCCGTGCATGCATTTTGTGCACCAGGCCTCAAGTAGTAGTAGCAGTAGTAGTAGTAGTAGTAGTAGTAGTAGTAGTAATAATAATAATAATAATAATAATAGATATTTTCTATAACATTCACAACACTGGGAAAGTCTTACAGAAACTAAGCCTTTTCCTCCTCGAGTGATGCCTTCTCTAAGACCAGCCGGTTGCTTGTTCATGGCTTCTCTCCTCTTCTGTTGGTAGTCTTCATCCATAGTTATAGCTGCTACCCCTTTAGCCATAGCACTGGTGATTTTGGAGGCAGCACCAGCTAATCCACCTAGGAGAAATTAACATATCTTTAGTAAAAGCAAATGTATCATTACTTTCTAGCATAAGTACATTCGCGAGGCATGCTGTTTCTTACCAACAGCTCCCCCAACTAATGCCTTCAATCCTAGTGCCATTCCTTCCACAAACTCTTCAGGACCCTGGATGGCTCCCTAAAGGGTCAAAAATAACAACAAATAAGATTATGTTTACCTTTAAAAGTGCACTAATTGATATGAAGAAAATAGTAGCAACAACAACAACAAAAAATGATGTCCCTGAGAAAGTGACACCAGAAGAAAACTTCACATTAACAGAAGTCTCAGATATTTCATGACATTGCAAGTGAAAAGGATTAAGTGTTGCAAGTTATTCCAAACTTAGGAAAATGGCTATTCATCAAAGTGTACAAAAGACGTTTGTTCTGTATGTTGTATGATAAGAAAGTGAACACACACTATCCTTGATAATTTTTTATGAAATAAATAAAAACACTTTCATTCCTAATATATCTAATGTTTTAAATTATATTGTACAAAATAAATATGTTTTGCTATTTTTTCATTATCATCTACTCTTTTAAGTGTGAAAGTAGCAACATTTTTTAACATTCTGGCAGAAATTTTTAAGGGACATAGAAAAATCTTAATTTCTGCCATTGATTGAGATTGCTTTGCACAGTGCTAGCTGTGCATACTATTGGGCAGAGCAAAACTGCCTGTCCATAATACTCTTCCTTCTACTAGAGTGTGAAGTTTACCCACCTTTAATTTTATAACAGAACACTTAAAATTCAATATATTTGTTTAAAGTCTTAAGTTTAAAATCTGAGGGAAAATGTAAAAATTTCCCCCCAAATTTCTCAAAAGCTGTTAATACTGTTTGATGCAAAATAATGTGCCTTTGTGACTCACAAAATCTATTTACATCTGCAACTCAAGTTAACAATTGGAATGCATTATTGCAAGAACAACTGTTTTACCTGGTAAGGTTCATAGAAAAATGCTTCTACACCTTCAGAAAATTCTCTAATTAAGCCAAAGGGATTTCCCAAAACTTCAAGTCCAAGAATGAGTACATACATTTGCCTAATGGCCTAAAAAGAAAACATAAACATTAATCAATTTGGATTATCAGGCTTAATATTTTTTTCTTAAATTTAGTACACACATCCAATTTTTCAGGCTAATATTCTTATCATCAATTTGAATACCTAAACTATATATTACCTTATTCGTCACTAGTCAGTTTTTAAAAAGCAATTCAGTGTTAGAGTATTAGAAATAATGTAAGATTTACATAATACTTAAGAATATTCAAAATACTTGTATTTTTACAACTATGTGTGAAAGTTGTTAATACTACCATCATTTTATAGACTGGAGAAATATACAGGTCAAATGATGCCTAGGGCCAAACAGAGGTTGAATGGCAAATCTGGAATCCAAACCCCGACCTCTTGAGTCATGCTCAATGATCTGTCCATTATCCAACAGCTGTCTCAGATGCCCTATAAGTTATATAAAAATACTGGAATCTTTTCACATGCCTGATTTTTGGGCTCGATCCTCAGTAGGGGGACATGCAGGAGGCAGCTGATCAATGATTCTCTCTCATCACTGATGCTTCTCTCTCTCTCTCCCTTTCCTTCCTCTCTGAAATCAATAAAAATATATTTTAAAAAAATATCCTGTGTTCATCAGTTACTAATAGTTTCCTTTGAACCTAGTTTTTTAAGTAAGTGTGGTGAATTACTTAATATTTTATTTAAAGGTTTATGTGTAGTCTACATTGTTCCAGAAAAGATTTGGGTACATAACTAAAAATTAGAAGGACAGAAATTGAAATGGCCATTTTTTTTTTTAATTCTTACTTATTGAATTTAGAAAGAGAGAGAGAGAAACATCAATTTATTGTTCCACTTATTTATGCATTCACTGGTTGATTCACATATGTGCCCTGATGGGATCAAACTTGTAACCTTTGCATATTGGGATGAAGCTCTAAAAACTGAGCTACTTGGCCAGAGCCTCTTTCTACAATTCTGAAAATAAAAAAACATGTCTTAAATTTTTGAAAATGGCTATTAACTTCCTTGCCAAATCTACATTATATAGGTACAGACACATACAGTTTCACTATTTTATATCACTCTGCCCCTTTGTAAAATAATCTCAGACAAACCTGTTTTGAATAGTGTCTTACTACTTCAGACTGCAGTTCAGATGTTGTATGAAACTGATAGTTGAGTTCAAAAAATGCAAGCCTGAAAAAGAAACCACATTAAAAATGTGTAAATGTGTAGGTATGTACATAGAGAGAGGGAGACAGGCAGAGAGGGAATAAAATCTTTAATGTTAAGATTTCATTTTCTTTAGAATTTTTCTCCAAATCTTTCCTTTCAGTCTTTTCCCATGCAAACCAGAAAACCTATTCTTTTACATACATCTCTGCACATTCTGGTCAAAAAGGCTCTAAAAATCTGGTGAGAGCTATGGATCTTACCCTCAGAAAAGCCACTAACATACACACATTTTCCACATAATTTAGAGGATCAGAGAGCCTCTGGATCTATGGACATGATCTTATATTTGTCAACTTAGTCCTATCATGGCCCACATAGAAAATGTTTGACACACTGAGATAAATGTAAGTGGTTGCTCAAGAATGACCAGGGTTCATTGCTGCAGGGCTTGCCTGAACAGCCTACCGCTGAGGAATGAAGGTATGTTTACTTATAACCTGTTCCCAGCATACGCTCAATCAACTAATTGGAAAGCTCTATGCTAGCAGTTAAGATAGAAAGATTAGAATTCTCACTTTATTCCTGATATGATGTCTTCAAATCTGTTCTTTAATTTGACTGTTACCTAACTTTACCCAGACTCAGAGATATCTCTTACTGGACTCACTGATTCTTATTATTTTTAGTAACAGTTCTAGGTGGTAGTTGAAAAGGGCATTCTTATCTGAAGTCTCCACTCAGACTTGGACTCTCTTTGGTCAGATACTCTATCTAATAGCTCCCAAAGTTAAGTTCCTGATGGTAACATTTAAACTGATCCCTTCATTTCCCGTCATGACATTCACTTTTTCTAGTCACATATACTTTGAAGAGTCTTGATCCGCCTTAAAGTCACATCTTTTAAGCACCACACCTTTGGGCACACACAGCTGCTTAGAATTCTTCTCTAGACCAGACAAGCCTTAAAGAGTGCACCAACATGCACGACTCCTGTCTCTATTTCTTAAGGAAATTATTTAACAACTAATTTGTTTTTCAATAGTTAAGGATTAACAGGTGTATATTACCTAAGTTATGTTACACTTAACAACAAAACCATCTTGTGCCTAAGATCTGCAGTACTTATAAATTTTTGGTGAATATAAAATGGACTTTTCATCAATTTGTAGATTTGAATTTAAACATACTTAAAAACCACATCTTGTACATCTGTAAGAGTGGCACCAATACTCTTCAGCAAGAGATTTAAAGAACTAATTGCAATGAATCCTTCATGCTGTTCTGAGTCTTTAGCTGCTTCTTTACCCGAACTCAGTGAAACACTTAAATGCAACTAGAGAGATAGAGAGAGAAGTATTTAAATCAGTACCTTCATAATGACAATATTAATTTTTAATATTCCATTTTATTTTAAAGTCACTACACCACAAATAAAATTTCAAAGATATCAGGACTGTGCCAAATTTAATAAGTGAAAAGTTTAAAAGATTTAAAATCTAATACAGTTTACTTATACTAATCTAATAGTGTTTAAATAATTACTTATACTAATCTAATAGTGTTTAAATTTTAAATTCAGCAATGTATAATGATATATTTAGCTCAATCCAATTCTTTTGGGAAAGCTAAGAAAATATTAACATTTATACATTGTTAGTGACAATAATATCTAGAAGTTAAAGTTGCTGAAATAAGTATCTCCACAAGTCAATGTTTCAACTATAAGAACTAAGGTAGCAGGATGTTAAAAGCACTTTTGTATTGTATGGATATACATGCTGTATACTCAGCTATACAATAATTTTCTTCAAGTATTCTGTAAGTAACTCATAAAAACTTTGTGTTAAGAACTTATATTTAGTTCCATCCAATCTTCAAATCTTAAATTAAGATTAATTTATAAATTAAAATGTATACACTATAGTTAGTACTGTACTGCATACTTGAAAGTTGCTAAAGGAGGAATCTTAAAAGTTCTCATCACAAAAAATAAATAAATTATAATACTGTATACGGACAGATGGTAACATATTGTGATGATCATTTCACAGTCTATACAAATATCAAATCATTACACTGTACACTTTAAATAAATTTAATGTATCAATTACAACTCAGTTAAAAGAAAAACTTATACATACATCATACACAAAATTTAGAAAACTGTCATTAAATAGCTTAACACTAAGGAAATCTGTTAAGTCAAGACATAAACATATAAATACATGCTGTGGGTAGCTCCACTATTAGTTCCATATGGTGAAAATTATTATAAGAATAAAATTTTTAAAGGGTTATTAAATTTGACATTACCTAGATTATCACTGATAATAAAAATAACTTATTTTCCCCTACCTTGATAGGAGATATATGAAAATACTCATAGAGACTGACTTGTGATGAATCTACTAATGAAACTGTTTTATATTCTTCTTGGAAAACTTCTATATCTTTATGAAAAAGTTCAACCTATAAAGGAACATAAAGTATTAAAAACTTAAGGGACCTATCTTCAGGAAGTAGGTAAGCCAATAGCTCACACACTGCAGAACACTCCCCTGTAATATCCAGATCCAACATCATTCATAATTAGGAAGATAATGCCTGAGGAGAGAAACTAATATTTCTTTTGTTAGGAAAGTTCTGTCTGTCGCTCATAAACTGATAAGCATAACTTCTATGTTTCCATCTAATCCATTAAAAGACGCTAAGCTTTTCCTCATGTGACTACAGATTTTACTCAAAAAGGCCACTAATCTAATCCATTTATTTTTGTTTTGTAATAAATAATGTTTTTTTTTAAATAGTCAAGTATTGCACTTTTTTACAATTCTTGCAGCACACCAGTGTGCCACAGTGCACCGGCTGAAAATCGTTATTCTAAATTATTAATCTAAACAAAAGTAACCAAGGAAAGTAAAATTGAAAAAAAAAAACAACAGTAATGTGAACATGACTGATTATCCTCTTCCTCCTACTATTGATTTAAATATTTCCTCTTATTTGCTATCTCATGTTTAAAAGACTATTTTAACTTGTCTTGCTTAAGACTATTCGTGTCTTCTATAATCCAAAAAAATGATTTCTGCCAATGTACTCACCACAGCAGCGTAATAAAAATATTTTTAAAATGAAACAACCATTTTAACACTTTAAGAATTTATCAGGAGGGTTGGGGGCAGGGGAGGTCAGGGGAAGGTCAAGGGAAGAAAAAAAAAGGAGACATATGTAATACTCTTCGTAATACTTTAACGAATAAAACAAAAATTAAAAAAAAAGAATTCCTTTGGCGGGGGGAAGGGGGGAGAAAGAATTTATCAGATAGCTAAGATTTTTCTCAGTCCTTTTCCTAATCCTTACCATCAATGCTATTATTTTAAGTCTTACCTCCGTTTTTTCAGTTACTTCAGCTTCTGTCATAAGTTCTGCTAATGCATAGACAAACCCAAGATCCAACCTGAGATCCATTTCTTGGATCAACACTTTGAAGTATCTATATTACAAAGTAGAAAATATGAAAGGTCATCAATTAACAGTATTAAAAAATTAGATAAAGAAAAAAGTATTAAATATTAGAATGTTAAAACTTAGAACTTTCTAGAGGAATGTCATGGTAACACTGTTCATAATAGCAACAAACTCAAGTATGAAAATGCCTATGGAGAGGAAATCTATAAGTAAACTGTGGTATACAGTCATTGAACATTATTTATTAGTGTTTATAGATAAATTCTAGCTACATACTACAAAATGAATACATTTTAGTAAAAAGCTTAATAAAAAAAGCAAGTCCCAGGAGTATTGTACGGTTTGAAAAAAAAATTTTTTTTTTTCATGAAGTGGGAAAACTTTTATTTCAGGTATTGTAAGTTCTGAGGCTACCATTCCTTATACCTCTGAATCAAGCAGTAATTTTGGCAAGTGCATCACCTCTTAAAAAGAAAACTAAAACATGATGTTTCAGGGTATACAGAGGATGATGGATATTCTGGACAGTAGAAAGCACAGTTGAGGAGGAAGTTTATACTGGTCGCCTGATTTCTGCTTTCCTTCTTTTTTTTTGAAAAAAATTTTTTAATTAGGAGGAGCAAAGGGAAACTAAGAAGCATAATGTTTAGTTACACATTAGATAGACATTTAAATTATAATAAAACTATAATTTGAAAAGCAAGGGAATAGCCCAGGCCAGTGTGGCTCAGTTGGTTGGAGCACTGTCCCATACATTGAAAGGTGGTGGGTTCAATTCCCAGTTAGGGCACATACTGAAGTTGTGGATCCGATCCCTGGTTGGGGCACTTGCAGGAGGCAACCAATAGATGTTTGTCTCTCACATCCATGTTTCTCTCAAAAAAAAAAAAGAAAGAAAAATCAATGAAAAAAATCTTCAGGTAAGGATTTAAAAAAGAAAAAAGCAAGAGAATAATGTTTGTCTTGGTAATAGGGCAGAGAAAACAAGAAATAAGGGAATAATACATAGATGAATGTTTCTGTAAATGTTAGATTTCTTGGACTGGGTGGTGACTGAATTTGAAAATACTATTTTCTCTCTTGTTTCTAACACTATGCAGTAATTATAGAGAACTTGAGAGAACAAATAAACAAAAAAGGAAAATAATAAAATGCCCATAATTTAGAAGTAACTTTTGTTAATACCTAGGTGTATTTCATTTAGAGCCTTCTGATTCTCCACAATTATAAAATAATTAATAGACATTTTCTATGACCTTCATAATTTAATATTGTACATTTAAATCTTTGACTTATTTAAAATTTACTTTTTCTAAAGAGCACAGTTTAAATCAAAACATTAAATAAAGATCAACCAAAGGACTCATGCATATAAGCCAAACCAATGGACATGGACAACAGGGGGATGAGAGCATGAGTGGGGAGGTTGGGGGAGGATGGGGGTTAATGGAAGGGGGATGAGGACACATTTGTAATTCCTTAATAAAGAATTTAAAGATAAAAAACATTAAATAAATACACAAGGAATGTATTAGGACACTTACTTAATACGTGATATCTGGGAATGCCCTGCAGATCTCATGACAATACTGACATCTGTAAAGGGCTTGGGTGCTGTAAAGGGTAATAAATATGATTAATCCCATGATGCTTTAAAAAAAGATAAGCAGCATTTCTTACCATGTAATACACATTACAATGGCTAACTAAATTATTTACTAAATGGTGAATATCAATTAAAATTACTAATATTTGTATGACCCATTATAGTCTTAATTTCAGACTCCAGGATTGTTTTTGTACATTATCTATACTCTCTCTGAGGATTACTAATCCTTTAAATTAGTGAGTTTAAACTAGAAGCAAGCATTAGAACCACCAGGGAAACTTTGTGGAAACACAGATTTCAGGATCTTGCCCTTGACATCTAGGTGAAAGGGCTTGGGCATGTATACTGGTCAATAAGCTTCCAAGCAGATTATGAATACTCCTTTAGATAGTTTAGTCAGTGGTATGAAGGTAACTGTGGAAAGAAAAAGGAGGGAGGGAGCAGGGTAGTGGGAAGAGAAAAGAAAGTGAGGGGAAAAGCAACAGCAAAGAAAGAAGGTGAAGGGAAGAGAGGATGGAAGAAAGGACTTGTAATCATTCTCAAATGGGGATTAGGGCAGTTCCTGTGGTTAGAAAACAGTCTGAATTTGAACTTCCTCACAGTTTATTCAAAGGTCTCAGTGGCTTTTAAATCAGAGTTTTAAACATTGTAATTTTTTTAAAGTAGCATTTCTAAACATTAAAATATATATTTCTAATTAATCTTTTCTTCAGTATTCAATCAGAGTTTTGTTGAAGTTAGCTGAGTAAAATGGTTTCATTTCATATTATTATAGTAAAATAAACCAAACAGTTAATACAACCACTTTTATAGCAATCTAAAGATATAGACAAACCTGAATCCATGGTGACTGACTTGGGAGGCTTAATAGGATAAAATACAAATGGAAATACAGCGCCATGTATCTGGTTTTGGATCTAAAAAACAAACAAACAAACAAAAAAACCCAGGTTAGTATGTTCATATGTTAATTATTGAACCTGACTAGAATAACAAGATTTAAGAAGGAGAAGGAATCAAAAAGTCTAGTCCCACACTGAAATGGAAGTGCTAAAATAGGCCATAAGAATAAATTAGTTTATTTTATAATATAATTTGACTATCTATTCAGACTCACCTGTATTCTATAAATTTGAATTCTAAATGATGATTGATGTGCAGATGTGTTATATTCCACGTTTAATGCTGGCAGATAATTTCTTCGTATAGCTATTATATGTGGTTGCAGAATTTTCATGTTATTGCCGCTAGGTGTAAAGCGAACCTGAAAAACATGGCATCCCCCCAAAACACATAGAATTTCTATTTACTCATAACTGATTAAAATTAGAAATGTGTACCAAAATTTTAAAAATACTAATTAAAATAATAGCCTAAATATTCAATTAGGTTTAGAATGAGAACTTTATAGCCCATATCCATACAATTCACAAAAACCTTCAGATATTCCTTAGAGCTTGGCTGTATCACTTTTCATGTAAATTTACTAAAATTTACCCAAAACAAGTGAGAAATATAAAATAACATTACAAATAATTAAAAAATAAAAAGTTACTGGCTTGTTTACCAAGGAATAGATCACTAGTATATCAAGAGAAAGTCTGAGTTTTTAATATTTTATATTAAGTATGTATGATAACATTGACTGTTTTGTAAGGAAATAAGGCTTAAGTATTAACTAGTGATTAATCTAATTATAATAGATAAAAAATAAAACTTCATATCAGTACTTAAAAATATTACCGGAATAGTAGTGTCCAACTCAATAACCTTATCTTCTGAAGGTGAAGATTCAATATATTCCTTAAATTCTTTCTCTAACTTCTCAGTGTGCTTTATACTCATTGGCTTCCATCTTGCCTTCTTCTTGGGCTTTGTCTCCCAAACCACATCAGAACTTAGATATGAAAGCAAAAATCATGGTACTAATTTATACACATTTGCATTTTAACTGGTTTATTACATGAATTACAAAATCTTGAGTAAAAATTTTGCAATATCCTCAATTCAACCAATCACATTAAATTCCTACTTAGGCACCATTCTAGGTAGTAGGAATTCTAGCAGTGAACATTACTGCCATTCTTTAGCTTCATTTTAGCTGAGGACTGATAGAAAGAACGTCATAAATATAGTAACTTAGCATATTTAATATATTAGGAAGTGAAATGCTTTTGAAAGAAGAAAAAGTAGACAAGGAAAGGTGGACATGGAGTATTGGGATATGCAAAGTTGTGGGTTGCAGTGTTAAAAGTGAGTAGTCAACAGGGGTGTCATGGAAGTAAGATTTCAAGAACTTAGAGATCAGGGAATTTATCGAGAAGACAACAAGCGAACATTTCAAGTAGAGGGACCAGTTAGAGCAAAGACTCTGTGAGCATGCTTGTAGTATATGAAGAAGAGCAAGGAGGCTGGCATACTTGGAACACATTAAGAGTAGAAGACGAGCCTAGCCAGTCTGGTTCAGTAGACAGAGCGAGCGGGAAGAAACCCATTCATGTGTCTCTCTCACATCAATGTTTCTCTCTCTTTATCTGTCCTACCTTCCACACTCTGTAAGTCAATGGAAAAATATCCTCAGGTGAGAATTAAAAAAAAAAGAGTAGAAGATGAAGTAAGACAGGGGCCAAATAATGGGAAAGCCTTGTAGGATATTGTAAAGACTTGGAGTTTTACTATGAGATGAATAACAGTTGAAAGATTATGAGAAGATCAATGAAACGATCTGACTTAGCTTTGTTAGAAATACACTGCTGGATAGGGGTAAGAGAAAAAGGGAATGATGGCTAGAAGCAGAAAAACTTAGTAGGAGTTTAATGTAGTAAGCTGGGAGAGAAATGGTGAGGGCTAGGGTGATAACACAGATAGTGAAAAGTGGTCAGATCCTATGTATGTTTTGAAGGTAGAGCCAGCACATAGCCTCTAGATCAGCGGTTCTCAACCTGTGGGTCGCGACCTCTTTGGAGGTCAAATGACCCTTTCATAGGGGTCGCCTAAATACATCCTGCATATCAGATATTTACATTACGATTCATAACAGTAGCAAAATTACAGTTATGAAGTAGCAACAAAAATAATTTTATGGTTGGGGGTCACCACAACATGAGGAACTGTATTAAAGGGTCGCAGCATTAGGAAGGTTGAGAACCACTGCTCTAGATGGATTAGATGTGGGGTGTGAGTAAAGAGATGAAACAAAATGATTCCAACACTTTTGGCCTGAGTAACTAGAAGGATGTATTTGTCATTAACTTCAATGAGGAGGCAGACTTGGTAGGATATCAGGAAATGGGTTTTAAACATATAATGTACTAGAGACCCGATGCACAAAATTCATACGCTGGGTGGGGAGGAGGGGAAGAAGGTCCCTCAGCCTGGCCTTCACCCTCTCGCAGTCCAGGAGCCCTTGGGGATGTCCACCTGCCAGCTTAGGCCTGCCTGCTCGCTGCTCCTTACATCTTGGCTTGCTGCCCCTTAGCACTGCTTCAGGTGGGAGAGGCTCCCGCCACCGCCACTGCCCTCACCAGCCATGTGCCCAGCTTCTGGCTGAGTGGCGCTCCCCCTGAGGGAGCATACTTACCACCAGAGGGTAGCTCCTGTGTTGAGCATCTGCCCCCTGGTGATCAGTGCACATCATAGCGACTGGTCGGTCGATTTGCATATTAGGGTTTTATATAGATAGATAGTCTCTTAGGTATTTTACTACAAATTTTATGTAGGCAGCTGGATATACATGCCTGGAGTTCATGAAGAAAAATCTGGCTGAAGATGTATTTTTAGAAAATTAGGCTTATAGGTGGTATTTGAAATCATAAAACTGAAACAGAGAAGAGGATTAGGTTTGAGAGCTCCAGGGCACCCAATGGAGAAGACAAGGAACCAACAAATGAGACTGAAAATGTTGGGAGAGAGAAAAAGAAAAATCAAGGTAAGAAATCCTGGAGGTCTGTCAAAGAAGGAATCTGTGTTAAATGTTATGAACTTTTAAGCAACAAGGGGGTTGGATATTGTACTTCGGACCTGGCAATACACACATCCCTAAGGTGCTCTTGGTAACACCATTTTCACGGTACATTGGAGCCAAAGCCTATTGGGAGTGACTAAAGAAAATAATGGGTAAAAATAATTGAATGTAATGAATATATTTAACTCTTTTGTCATGAACAACACTTGGGCAGTTTGGCTATAAAGGGAAGCAAAGAAATAGGCAGTAGATAGCAGAGAAAGTAGGATCAAGAAAATAAAATTTAAGTTGAGAAAAATAACACTGATGAGAACAATCCAAAAGAGTCAGAAATTGTGGACAGGAGAAAGAAAAAAGAGAATTGCTAGATCAGTGTCTCAAAAAGTGAAAGGGAACAGAATACAATGCAAAAGCAGAAAAATTTGTTTAAATAGCACATATGATATACCTATGATAACTGTGGGTAAGTATGTCAGCATAGTATACAGGTAATAAACGCTGGTGAGTAGGAAATTGATATTGGGGGGTGGGTCTTTGAAAGTTCCTTTTTGATTGCTTCAATTTTCTCAGTGAAATGGGATGCAAGGCAGTGAGCTGAGAGAGGAAATGGGACTTTAAAAAGAGACAGAGTATGAAACAATCTAGGAAAATGAGAGAATTAATGAAACAAATCTATTTCAGTGAAAAATTGCCAAAAGAATTAAATACAGAACAAAAAATCTACCCATGTTCTAAAATTACTTCACTCTTTCTGTTTTAGTACATAAGTTATTTAATTTTATTTAAGTACTCTATTTGTTTATTCCTTCTAAAATTTATATTCACTTAATTTAAAAAAAGATAGGAACCATGTGTTACTCCCACTTGCATTCACACCATAGCATAGGACATAGCCCATAACAGGTTGTCTATTTGACATTTTTGTTTAAATAATAAACATTTTTTAGGAATACATATTTCTAAGAAAATAGTTTTTAATATTCCTTTTAGAACATATTCCAGTCAATGAAGAGTTAGGGACATTTCTAGATGCATTCATAAAAAAAAATTTAAATCTGGATTATATATCATTTATACATTATACATCTTTTATATAAAGATATATGATATATATACATATACATACACACACACACATATCTGTACATTAGTTTAAGTTAAAAGATCCTGGTTATACAGACTGGAATCCAGTAATACCCTCAAATTAGTTACTAATACACTTAAATTAATTTTACTGTAAGTATTTGTAAACAGGAGTATTACAGGCATAGGGAAAACAAAGTTTTACTAGTGGTGACTTATTTGGGGAATAATAAATACAGTATCACCTTATTAGCTCTTAAAGTGTTAAGGTGAAATTAGAACGTGATTGTCTTTATTCCTTGAACCTCTATTTAAGGAGCATCAACATACCCTGCATTGTAGTAGAATAACATTATGGCGTGTTAAAGAAAGTAGACTTTTGATAAGTTGAATAAATCTAACTTTTTAGAGAATGAGAGAATGAACAACATAAAAAGGGATTTATGAATTTGACTTATCATATATCTTTATCTCAAGGGCAAAAAAAATCTCACAAGCATTTTAAAAATAACATTATCTTAGTATCATGGCTAATCAAAACAAAGATGTTAAACTAAATTATTTCAGATTATACAATCACCACTCTTGATGATAAAGAACTGATCGTTTAAATTTACCCAAATTATGATGCATCTAACCTTGTAATGCCAATATAGGCTACTTCTTGCTTTGTGTAATTGTTGACGAGAGAAATTCCAACATCTTGTAATGCCAACACAATTTCTTGCTCTGCTAATTCTGCTTTCTCATTTTCATATGTCACTTTAAATACCTTTGGATCTTCAGTGAATAAAATAATGCGTTGTAAGCCTTCAAAGAATGAAACTAAATAAATAGTCTTTTTCCCCAAATTTATAGGTGTCATCATATCCTAAAATAAAACCACCAAAAAATAAAAAATTAAGAGTATGGCACCAACCAACATTTAAACTAATATTTAAAAAATGAGAATAGTAATGGCACCTCCTTCACAGGGTCAAACAAACTAAATGAATTAATATTTGTGTAACAATGGAAATTTACATAATTACAATAATTTGGTATCTGCTTCTGCCATTACTACTATAAAGTTATTAGCAAGGAAGACACATCAATTATTCTTTTATTAATATCCTGATAAAGTCTAATTAAATAGTCTTCCTGTATAGGCTTATCAATAACACAAAGCATTATTTTCTCTCCTTTATCCTAAGACTAACCAATGCATTATTTATTTTTAAGTCAGAAATTCATAGTAAATAGGATAAAACATATCTGACATTTCAATTGCATGCTCTACAAAACATGGATATTCAGCACAGGTGAGTAATTCTGCAGGAAGCCTTTATATATAAGCATTGCGCTGTTATCAGGGTCTTGAAGTTCAATGACAAGATAAATACAGCAAATTCTAATAATTAACAGTTACCCATGAATTTCTAGTTAAGTAAATATTCTGATTAAGAAGAAATTTTAATATACAGTACACATTTGTTATAACCCACTGATATTAAAAACTGGAGTTGTTACTGTAAAATCAGTATCTAGGAACAAACATGTTGCTTATAATTCTTTCTAAAATAAAATATATAGCAATAAGCTAACTTATTTTCAAATATTTATACAGTATTTCTAATATTTCATAGTGGATTTCAGATTTAGCTTTATAAAATTCAACTATCATTATGGCATAAATATGCAAATTTACTAATTAACAGATCAAATAAATAAGACGTTGGAATAGGGGTCAAATTAAGACGAATTTTAAAAGACTAAAAAAATTTTAATTTTTAATTGTTTAAAAACAATTTCTAAAAAGACCCCAATTTCTGAATGCCATTGAAAATATTACTGGAAAATGTTTATGTACAACTTTATCATTATAAAAAACCATATCAATAATAGCTTGCTACCAGAAATAAATTCTTTAGTTAGTAGATCCCTAGATGTTCCTCACAGAAGTGAAAATGGCCTAAGACGACTGTCAATGAAAAGTATATCTGTTCATGAGGTGAATGCTGAAAGCCCCTCTCTAATTACAATTTACCTTTATACCATAACTAGAGGCCCGGTGCATGAAATGTGTGTGTGTGTGTGTGTGTGTGTGTGTGTGTGTGTGTGTCCCTCAGCCCAGCCTGCACCCTCTCCAATCTGGGGCCCCTCGGGGCATGTCTGACTGCCAGCATCGGACATCCCTCTCACAATCCGGGACTGCTGGTTCCTAACCTCTTCCTGCCTGCCGCCTGATTGCCCCTAACCACTTACAATATACAGGTCTAGCAAATCAGCACACTGTACAGTTTAGATATATTTAACTAGAGGCCTGGTGCATGAAATGCACTTGCGGGGAGGGGTCCCTTAGCCGGGCCTGTGCCCTCTTGCAGTCTGGGAGCCCTCGGAGGATGTCCGACTGACGGCTTAGGCCCACTTCCCAAAAGGAATGGGCCTAAGCCGTCAGTCGGACATCCTTAGCACTGCTGAGGAGGTGGGATAGGCTCCCGCCACTGCTGCTGTGCTTGTAGCCGTCAGCCTGCCTTGTGGCTGAGCGGAGCTCCTCCTGTGGGAGCGCACTGACCACCAGGGGGTAGCTTCTGCGTTGAGCATCTGCCTCCTGATGGTCAGTGCACATCGTAGTGACCGGTCATTCCTGGTCATTCTGCTGTTAGGGTCAATTTGCATATTACCCTTTTATTATATAGGATGGAAACAAATAATGATGTAGGCAAAATAAGACTACTTCAAGTTTTAAACATTTTTGGTTAAGTTAAAGTTTGAATATTTTTTAAATCTTTGTCAGTTTATTTTAGTAGTGCAGACATAAACATGCCTTAAAACTAGTAAGGCTCAAAGAGAATACTTTTTAAAAAACAAAAAAAATACTGCTGAGGACATCATGATAATCAGCCCAAAACATACATCTTTTTGTGTTACTTCACCGTGGCTTTTCCCACAACTCCACTTCAGCTTTCTAGAGCCCACTGGATCGGCCCATGTATAAAATACTGCTTTTCCAGGAGGGAGAGAGTCTTCTATTTCACTGAGAGAACTGACACAAATAGTAAAAATAGGCATTAAATTAAGTGTAAGAAAGTGAATAAAGAACCCAAAATAATATAGTTCAGTAATTCCAAGTCAATTCATTGAGATTTATAATATTTCTGACTAAGAGTAGACTGAAAGTTTTTCCTTACATAATGGAAAAGTGGTTTTCTAAGAAAACAATGAGAATAGCCCAGCTGGTGTGACTCAGTGGTTGAGCATAAATCTATGAACCAGAAGGTCATGGTTCGATTCTTGGTCATGGTTCGATCCCCAGTAGGGGATGTGCAGGAGGCAGCTGATCAATGATTCTCTCTCATAATTGATGTTTCTATCTCTCTCTTCCTCTCTGAAATCAATAACAATATATTTAATTTAAAAAAAGAAATCATCTTAAAGTCAGTGTTTCATCACCTAGACTTTGCTCAAATCAGGGGATACTGTATTTGTGATCCTCTTCTTACCTTTGCTTATATTCAATAATGTCATTCTTAGTGTGATTTATTAATAGGAATGTAGCTGCTCCATCATGATAATCTGAAAATTTAATAACTGTAGAATGCTCAGCCAAATTAACTTCTGCTATAATACCGCCAAGCTATAAAAAAAGAGAAAATATTCTCTAATGTGATCATTTTTCAAAGAATATTAACTAACAACACTTAATAACAAAACTTTTCATAACATATTTTTATTTTATATGGCATGTCTGGGAAACTATCAATTATTATATACTAGAGGCCTGGTGCACAAAAATTTGTGCACTGGCGGGGGGGGGGCCCTCAGCCCAGCTTGCCCCCATCACATACTGGGAGCCCTAGAGGGTGTCCTACTACCTGCTCCCTGCTCCCCTTGGGAGTGGGCCCTAAGCCACAGTCTGGCCTCCCTTTGAGGACTCAAGCCTCTGGTGAGTTATTAGCCCTGGGCCGGGTCACCCCCAGCTCCCCACCACCGCCACCATCAATGATCGCTGGCTGGCTCCTCCTTGGCCTAAGCTTAAAGCCTCAGGCTGAGGTGTTAGGCCTGGGGCCCCTCCCCAGCCTCCCCACCATCAACAATCTCTGGCTGGCTCCTCCCTGACCCAGGCCTAACGCCTCAGGCTGAGGGTTTAGGCCTGGGCCGGGGCACCCCAGTTCCCCGCCATGGATCACTGACTGACTCTGCCCCGGTTCCCTGCCAAAGCCGCCATCAAGGGTCGCTTGCTGGCTCTGCCCTGGTCCAAGCCTAAAGCCTCTGGCTGAGGTGTTAGGCCTGGGCCGGGGCCCCTCCCCCCATGCTCCCCACCTTCGCTGCCATCAACGATAGCTGGCTGGCTCCTCCCCAGCCCAAGCCTAAAGCCTCTGGCTGAGGTGTCAGGCCTGGGCTGAACCCCCCACCCCCATGCTCCCCGCCATCAAGATCGCTGACTGGCTCCTCCCTGGCCCAGGCCTAACGCCTCAGGCCGAGGCTTTAGGCCTGGACCTGGGCACCCCCAGCTCCCTGCCGCTGCCGCTGCCTCTGCCATCAATGATCGCTGGCTGGCTCCACCCTGGCCCTGGCCTAAAGCCTCAAGTCGAAGCTTTAGGCCTGGACCTGGGCACCACCAACTCCCTGCCACCGATCGCTGGCTGGCTCTGCCCCAGTTCCCTGCCAAAGCCGCCATCAATGATCGCTGGCTGGCTCCGCCCCAGTCCAAGCCTAAAGCCTCTGGCTGAGGTGTTAGGCCTGGGCTGAACCCCCCCCCCCCCATGCTCCCCGCCATCAAGATCGCTGGCTGGCTCCTCCTTGGCCCAGGCCTAACGCCTCAGGCTGAGGGTTTAGGCCTGGGCCGGGGCACCCCCAGCTCCCCGCCACCAATCGCTGGCTGGCTCCGACCCGGTTCCCCGCTGCAACTGCCATCAAGGATCCCTGGCTGGCCCGAGCACCCCCAGCTCCCTGCCCCTGCCCCATCAAGCATAGCGGGCTGGCTCCGCCTGGTTCCCTGGCGCTGCCGCCATCAATGATTGCTGGATGGCTCCGCCCAGGCCCCAGCCTAAAGCTTCAGTCTGAGGCTTGGGGCTGACATATGCAAAATAGCCGCCATCTTGGCTGTCGACTAATTTGCATATCTCACTGATTAGCCAATGAAAAGGGTAGCGGTCGTACGCCAATTACCATCTTTCTCTTTTATTATATAGGATAGATGGGTCAAATTCCAGAAGTATACTGTAGCCACTTCTACCAACTCTGTATAACAAAATTGTTTTATGACTGTTTCCCCTTAGTACTTTTTTCCCTCACAAAAAAAAAAAATCTTTGTTCATTTTTGGTGAAAGGAAAAAAAACCATGAGAAAATTATTTGATACAAAAAAATTAAATACTAGTAAGTAACATTAACTCATCACACACACACACACACACACACACACACACACACACACATTAATTACCTCATTATCCAGACGTAATAAAATACAATTTTCTTGCTTGTTAAAATGTATCTTTTGGGGAGGGCCTCTACTTCTTTCAACTTGAATAAGAAGTTTATTTGAAGCATCCTCAGGCCAAAAGGGAATACACTAAAACATATATTACATATATTTATTTTTTTTAGAACCTACAATATATTGTACCATAAAGACCTTTATCATTTTAATAAATCCATCAGAGTAAACAAAATAAAATGAAAATAAATCTCTTTCAACAGTGCTCTGGTTACTGGGTTATTTACCTAAACAGTTATAAACTGCCTACATAGAGATGGGTTGCCACTAGTGGACAGTGTGAAAACAAGCAGTAATGGATAGTAAGCTGAAAAGCTATGATAAACAGAAATTTAATGTGGTCCAGATCTAGAGAAGGGTTTGAAAAATCAACATGCTGAGCAGAGAGCACAAGGGAAGCAAGTGATCAGTTACTGAAAATCATAGTCAGTTGTGGGCAAACCTTGGTAATTAAGCAGTAAAGTACACCCAAATATTGACTCAGGGAAGTCAAACAAGGGTGCAAAAGTAAAAGATATATTCAAAGTTCAGAACAGGAAACAGGCTCAAAAAATTAAAAACTACCTGGATATCGGTGATTTGAAAACCAAACTGAAAGAATAGGAGACAGTCAGTGTACCCAGAAAGAAGACTGGATTATCAGGAGCTGGAAACAAAAAGAACTACACGGAGAGGAATGGAGATGCAAACTGTCTGTTAGCCCCAGCCAGACAGGAGACGTCACGTATTTCAGTGAGACTGTTCATGTGTGATATCTGATTATCACATGACCTGGGAAAATGTAGCAGAACTGACCTGTTAGAGTCCGTTTTATTCAACCATAAAAGGTGATTAACAGAACTAGATGGAACATGGTTAAGGCTGTAAGAGGCTTAAAAGGTGCCCTTCAGGATTTCCTGCAACCTAGCAGACACTTACCTGGAAGAATTAAAAGAGCAGTAATTCTAATCCAAGTCTACTTCCCATGAGGCACTGATGTGCTCTCTGAACTTCCCTAGCCTGCTACCTTCTGGTAGCCTTGCCTTAAAAAATGTTTTTATGCTTAAAAAGATATGCTGCATATCTTTTAAAAATATTGTATGCTCCACCTCTTGAGACTAGAGAAAGTAGGAAAGTACTTGTCTTTTGTAGTGGGAAAACAGAGCTATAGATAAGTTAAAAAAATCTATATAGGTAATAATCATGAGTATAAATCTTATGGTAAGGTTGGCCACGATAAGCCAAAATTAAAATATAAGGCTTTTAAACTAGCAAAGAAAAGATATCTTAAGAAAGGGGAAATTGAAAATAAGACAAAATCTCTCTTTAAAAAAAAGTTGTTATGCAGTTGTAATCAAAATTAATATACATATAAACTAACTGTCGAAAGACATGGGCTATAGAATGTGTTTTTAAAAAGATAAGACCCAATAATGTTACTGGCAATAGACACATAAATTGAGACATAGAACTGCTGTAAATAAAAGTATGGAAAAAGTTATACCTAGAAAACCTATAAAGCAAAACAAAGCTGCCGCTTTAATCTCTGCAATTAGATACATAGACAGTTCTATATCCAACAAGCCAAGAACCCACATGAAATATTTACAAGAATAAATACTATATTTATTTAACAAATATTTATTGAAAGCATACTATGTTTAACTATTCAAAACCCTCCAACAGTTCTCCGTTTCACTCAGAGCAAAAGATAAATCCTTGCAATGGCTCAGAAAGTTCTGCACGATTACCCTTTATCACCGTTATACCTTGTCCTCTGCTACTTTTCTTTCTTCCAGTACTACTGGCCACTTCGCTTTCCCTCAAACATGCCAAATATTCTCCAACCTTGGGGGCACCTACCCTGGCTGATCCTTCTGTCACTAATGCTCTTTTCCAGATACCCACATTGCTGAAGTGGCCAGCTCCTGGCTAAAAAGGTATGTGTAATTTTCAGGTCAGAATATAGTTAATGACAAAGGTGATTTTTTTTTTTTTTTTTATGGCAGGCCTCACAGGGAAAAGCTGTCCTCCCACATCAGACCAGGTGCACAGCCAGCTTATTGCATTGTCAAGGACTCAGCCCTACCTCCAGCCAAGCTCTTACACATATTTGCATTCCTACCCCAGGCACCTTTATTCAGAGGCTTTTTTTGTAGTGCCCTTGGCATAGGCCTTCCTCAGGAACCTATGCAAAACCTCTTTATCAAGGTGAGAAGGGGAACCCTGAAGACACATATTCTCTATTCTGACTCAGTGTTCAGGATTTTTCCACTCTGAGCCTTTCCCCTTGTTCACCCCCATCTTCCAGGTCCATAAAACTGTAAAAGCCTTTTGTTCAGGGCTCCTCCGATTGTGACACAACCCTAGTGTCTTGCTGATCTAGCTGACCCCTGCCTGACCAATGCTGCTCCATAGGAAAAATGGAACAGGGGAGTTGGGGTTTTCTCCAGTTTAGCTTCTTGCTTATACAATCTCAGTAAGCGACTGATTAAAGGTTTGACTATGTTCATTTTGGTTTGTTGTCTTAATTAGCTACTCCAATACCTGGCTGCTTAGCGCCAGCTCAGCTGAGCTCCTGACAATTGCTAATTCTCACAATTCCTCCAAGTCTTTCAAATGTGACCTCAATAAGTCCTAGCCTTGACCACCTTATGCAAAATTATAGCTCACCCCTTTTCACTGTGACTTTATTTTTAATCCTCACCTGAGAATATTTTTTTCCACTAAGTTTTTTTTTTTTTAGAGAGAGTGGAAGGGAGGGAGGGTAAAGGAGACAGAAAAAGGGAGAGGGAGAAAATAATCAATGCGAGAGAGACACACAGATTGGTTGCCTCTCATACCTGTCCCAAGGGAGGGCTAGGGATCAAACCTACAACCCAGGTACATGCCATTGACTGGGAATTGAACCCAAGAACCTTGGTCCATTGGGTGATTTTCTAACCACTGAGCACACCAGCCAGGGTATTCATTATAACTCTTAATACTCCTTTACCTGTCTTATTTCTATTCCCCCGTCACCTTTAAACATATTATATATTTTTACAACTCCATTAAAATATAAACTATACCAAGACTGGGACTGGTGGTTTCATTAGCAAATGTAACTATCGCAAGGCACACAGGAGACACAATAAGTATTTACTAAAAGAATGAATTAACAGGCAGACTCGAAAAAAGTGGAGCTTCTGGGAATGAGAAATACAAATAAAAAACTCAGGTGAGGGTTTAAATAACAGTTTAGACATAGTAAAAGTAAAAAATTACGGAAAATATACGTAGAATTTATCCAGGTTGTAGCACAGAAAGTTATACAGATAGTAAAAAAAGATATTAAGAGACAGAGAAAATAGAATATGAAAGTCTAGGATATGTCTGATTAAAGGCTCAGAAGGAGAAAATGGATGAACAGGAGAATACTTAAAGAGACAATAGTTGCAAATTTTATAGAAAGTATGAAAAATCATTACCCCACAGATCTAGCAGTAAGGCATATGAGGCAGGATATATAAAAGGAACCCACATGTAGACAAATAGTATGACTGCAAAATATCAAACACAAAGAGAAGACTGAAGGCAGCTAAGGAGAAAAGAAAGATGACCTCCAAAGAAATGACAGAACCACAGGCAAATTTTCAACAAAAATGGAAGCCAAAAAACAGTGGAGTAAAATATATAACATGCTGAGAAAAAATAGAATTATCAAGAAACGGCATCATAAAAGAAAGATGATGATAAAAACTTTATGGGTAAACACCCACTGATGGTACTTTCCTCCAGAACCAGCACTAAAGCAAATTCTAAAGGAAGTAGCTCAACCAAATGACTCAAGAAGGATGGCTTAAAAGCAAGATAGAATAATGAATAAAAATAGCAAACACTCCTCTTATAATCCTAACATATTTGAATAAAATTTCTTCAAAAGTAAAATATTCTATCACCCTCTGGCAGTCCTTCAGACAGCTCTTATGTAGAGGTTTAACAACTAAAGATGGAGTAAAAGAAATATTTTACTCCCAAGTCACTACCACCTTCTTAAAATAACTGGCTTAATCTATTCTTTAAAGGCAGTCCTAACAGCTTCCTGAAGAGAATAAATTATTTCCTTCTCTTTCCTGCATTAATACCTTATCTAGTCTTCTACTGCTCTATTTGACTCCATTTGGTTAGTAATTGCTAAAGTTTACCTCCCTTACCAAGAAATGTATTTCTCGATGGCAAGTTCTGAATTTTAATAATTAAATATCTAGGGCTTGGTACAAATACTCAATAAATGATTATGAAACAAATAAAATTGGGGGAATGGAAAGATAAAACATTACATAGTAATTTCAGTTATCTAACTTCCAGGAAAAATGAAATTCCTAAGAGCTATATTATTGAAATCCATCTACCCACCTGCTCCAAGTCGAGAGAGAGCCATTTATCACTCCCCTCTTCAGCCACTGATATATGATACTTGCTTTTGTTTTCGATCATATAAAAAGGGGTAAATGTCACAATTCTGGTAATGTTAAAACTGCTGAGGTCTATAATGACACCAACCTAAAGAAAAACATATTATTTATTACATTATCATAACATCCTTAAAAATTAAGTAGTCAATAGACACAGTTTAAATAAAAATTTCTTGATGAGCAGAGAATGAACTCACTTGATACTCCATTTTCATGCCTTTACATTTAACAGCTCCATGACTACCAACAGTATCAATTGAAAACTGATCTGATAATTCACTATCAGTTATCATAAGCTGAACCTAGGAAAAAATATTTCAAAGATATTACAACATAAGTACCTTTAAAAATTCCAACCTAAATTTATACATTTTGCTTTTTAGCATAAATATTGTACTGTTAATGCACTAAACTTTTTCCAACACAAAAGTCTAATCTTTATAATCTCAAATATTTAACAAATGTTATTTCTACCTGTTTCATATTATTTTATTCTTCAAAATTCTAAAATCTAAAAAGGAGTGATAAATAGCTTTAAAAAAAAGTTAAAAAACTTTACGTACCTTATTGTTATTAAAAAAGTGCTTTGGCTGAAAAGAAAAGAGAACTGGCATTTTATAATTAGGTGGATGCTTTCGATGAATTCCATCTGCTTTATACTGTAACATTCGACCAGTTTTATTGACCATCCAGTAAGGGCTATGAAATGCCACAACTGTCTGGCCAGGATTATAAGTCACATGGATAGCAATATCTAAATCAGTCTTTTCTATTTCTGTAACACAGGTAAAACTGATGAAACTAATATCTTGTTGATTAGGTTTTATATGATATTCACTTTTCCAATCTTGATTAAGATAGTCAAGTAATTTTAAATGTAGTATTGCTTTATCCAATTGTACGGTACAAATATGGGCAGAAGAACCTTCATTTAGAGTAAAAACTCTATGTTCATTCCCCTGTAATAAACAAAATATAGTAAATATAGTAAATTTTTTAATGTCTCAGATAAATATGCCAAAAATTCTATTTAAGGATTTCAAATGTTATACGAACTGCTTTTGAAACATACTTCTGTCTGAACAAGTTAGAAGACTTATATTCAAGTTCTAACTCTGCCAACTATGTAAACTTTCACATTTCCTCCAAGTCTGTGGGTAAATTATTCGAGATATATGAATTATCGTATTTCAAAAATGGTCTAAATGATCAACTTCAAAGGACTATTGTTAGGATAAAACTAAGTAATATAATGTAAAACTCTAATGGAACTAGTAAACATTATAATGCATATAACTAGTAAAACATTTTAAAAATCTTATCCATTAGTAATTTTAGTTTTGAAAACCAAAAACTGATGGAAAATGCATGAGAAGAGATGAAATCTTATCCATTAGTCATTTTAGTTTTGAAAACTAAAAAATTATGAAAAATGCATGAGAAAAGAGATGATAATCCAAAATAAGTCCCATTCTTGATTGTTAACAATCCTTCATCACCCATTTCCAATTATCCTATATTAGAGGCCCAATGCATGAAATTTGTGCAAGGGGTTTGGCCCTCGCAGCCACGGCAGCTTGCTTCAAGCCTCACAGCCCAGGCTTTGTCCGGAAGGTCATTCAGCTGTCCCATCTAATTAGCATAATATGCTTTTATTATTATCTATACTAACAAAAGGGTAGTATGCTAATTAGACCAGAGGTCTTCTAGAGGTCCTTCCAGGCAAAGTCACAGTGGCTGCAAGGCCGAGGGCCGGCAGCCATGGCAGCTGTGAGGGCCGATCCAGCACCATGGTCCCTTTTGCAGAGGCCATGGGAGAAGGCGCCGCAGAAGGGAGAAGGCAGAAGGAGAAGGTGGTGTCACGGGAGAAGGGAGGAGGTGAGAAGGTTGGCGCCTCGCGGGGAGAAGGCCAGCACCGTGCAAGAAGACAGAAGGGAGAAGGCCAGCACTGCGGAAGAAGGGAGAAGGTAGCAGGCAGTTAGGGGGATCAGGCCAGGAGGGGAGAGCAGATAGGCAGTTAGGGGGCCAGGAAGGGAGAGCAGTTAGGCAGTTAGGGGCAATCAGGCCAGCAGAGGACATCAAGCAGGCAGGTAGGTGAGCAGTTAGGAGCCAGTGGTTCCGGACTGCGAGAGAGGTCCCAGATTGGAGAGGGTGCAGGCTGGGCAGAGGGGATCCCCCGCCCCCCCGCTGCCAGTGCATTAATTTTGTTCACCAGGCCTCTAGTAGATAATAAAAGGGTAATATGCAAATTATCCCCTCGACTGGGAGTTCGACCAGAATTCAAGCAGGGAGGAGGGTCGGCCTTCCAACCTCTCGGAGCCCCTCCCCTTGGCTGGCCCCATCCCTGATTGTGTCTCCCCGCCCCGCTCCCCCCCAATCGGGGGCAGGACCAGCCTGCCAACTGCCTATGGCTCCTCCTCCCAGCTGGCCTGGCCTGATCGGCCCCATCAGGGTGGGCCAGTTGGACCCCACCTATGCACGAATTCATGCACCGGGCCTCTAGTTGTTTATAGTATTATATCTTATGCATCTCTCAAAAACATTCATTTCTCTTCACCCCCACTTTCATTACCTTAGTTCCCGCCACTGTGTCCTCTCACTTTAAGTCTCCTAACTGCTCTTGTCTCCTTTAATCCCTTCTTCATACCACAGCTAACCTGTCTTTCTAAAAATTGGTCATATCCATTGGGAGCTAGCAAACAGAATGTGATCCCTAAAAGCATCAAATTAAAAGTCCTATGAGAATGGAACATAGATAAATAGTATGCCTGGATAATTCACCAGATTGTCTAGCATCTCTAACTTGGTTCCTTCCTGTTGTTATAACACAGGAATCTCTTCATCTTAAGATTTTAAATTAATTAAAGTAAAAGTAATTTAAGTTATTGACACCTGGCATGTTAATATCCATAAAATAGAATAGTAGTGGTGGTGCTGTTAGAGAAGTAAATGAATAGCAATCATGTACCTACAAGGCACTGTGCTAAATCCTTTATATATATCATCTAGTTTGATTTCCCCATATCCCAATCATGCAAGATTACTATCCCCCTTTCATAAATGAGGATAAATGATTCAGAAAGACAATATAACTTGCCTAAAGTTAGTAAGTAATAGAGCTAGGATTAAATCTCTGATCTACCTGACAGTAAAGTGCAAATTCTTAACCACTAGAACAGCTGCCAAATATAAAGAAAAACAGATATTCTTAAACCATAGATGTTAACTTCACCCCCAAAAAATATTATCAAAGAAGTGTATACATATAGTAAATCCCAATAATTAATACACTATGACCAAAACAATAACTAATAAATTACAATGAAGAAATTTCTTATATTTGATAGGCATGGCAAGTGTAATATTAAAATCCTGATGAAATCAGACATAATTTGTTAAAACAGAATATTTAAAAGAAAAAGCATCATTATAGGGCATAAAATCCTTTTAGAGACCTATTATCAGAATAATATAATGTAGCAGCATTTTTCCACTTAAGTCTAGTACTTAAATATTATTTAATACTAATTCTCATACTTGTTTCAAGAGTTAGAATCCATATTTTAAATGTATGACATATGAAATGTACATGCTTAGAAAATATAGAAAAATATATATTCTAAAACTACAATGTTTTAATCTGAAGAGCTACCTTCAGGTGATGTGAGTGTAGGCAATTTCTATCATCTCTATTTTCTAAATGACATATCACACTTGTGTAGGTAATTTATATTCAACTTAGTAGTCAAATTTCAAAGGTTAATCAATGGAAAATATTTTTTAAATCCTATTCTTACACAGCATGATTAAAGATTTATTTTCCATTTGAGTATTACCAAATAGTATTACCTATCCCCAGTACCAAAACCATAGACACAAAGATATTTAATAAAATTCCAGAATACCTCTATATAATAAACAATTTTGTAAGGAAGAAGATTTCGGAGTAGGATAGGTGGCCACAAATGCATTATGTATGGTAAGTCCCAACCATCTTCTGAATATACTGACAGAGATGTCAAATTATCTTTTTCTGGGACAATATTAATAATAAATGGTTTCTTAGACGGGTTTATAGGTGTACATTGCCTCTTTAGAAAAGAGCCTTCATTTTTTATAATTTCTTCAAAGTCAATTGCTTCACACATTTGATAGTCCTCATCTTCTGGCTTCAGAAAAAGGAGTGATCTGCATAAAACATTAAAAAGGATGTGTTGAAATCCTTTAAAAGAAAACATTAAATTCTATGATTATAACTTTAGAACAATGAAATCACCTCCCTCCATACTATTTTAATATATCTTTATATTTTCACCTTCTTACAAATAGGTAAGATAGACAATAGATAAATATTTTCATCTTAACTTTCAAGAAATTAATAGTTATTTAGCTTTTAAAAGAATATTTATCTTATAAACTTACTATCTTAAATGTGTATTTACAATTAACCATATATTGTGTCACATGGGTACTAAACTTACTAGAGTGATCACTTTGTAAGGTATATAAGTGTCTAATCACTATGTTGTATACATGAAACTAATATATGTCAACTGTAATTAAAAATAAATTGTAAAAAGTATGTTTACAAGATAACTGGTTTCTTACAGAAAATACATAATCATATAGGTCACATATGTAAAGCAAACATATATAGCTATCTTTGACTTGTACAGTTAACTTAAAGAAGTTGTCTTTCCTGGATATGTGGTCCTAATAGGAAGTAAACGTCATGAATGACTTCATGAACTAAAAAATTATTTCTATTGAAAAAATCACCAGTTTTTCAAGATTAATGAAATTAAAGCTATCAATAGATACTTAATTTTATTAAAATGTTGGGCATAGTTGCAGAAGTGGTTACAAGATAGTAACAAAATCAATAGGCATCACATATGATTAATTCACAAATTTAAATATCACTGTCTTTGTTTACATTTAAGGTACATTTTAGGTTTAACAATTTTTTAAACCTAAGCTGTGTCCACGTATAAATACTTAAGAAATGTTTTTGTACTTGTAAAACTAATCAATTATGGTGACACTGTTCCTTACAGATGAACAACTGTCAGTACTATCTCTAGACCTAATTATTTTCTTAACCCTTTTTGGTCCAACATCGAGGCTGACTCGACTGACTAGGCACTCCGAGCAGGTCCAACATCGAGGCTGACTCGACAGACCAGGCGCTAGGAGCAGGTCCAACATCGAGGCTGACTCGACAGACCAGGCGCTAGGAGCAGGACCAACGTTGAGGCTGACTCGACAGACCAGGTGCTAGGAGCAGGTCCAATGTCGAAGCTGAGGTCCACACTGCAAACTGGTTCAACATTCAATCCCATCAATTAATTTGGACCAGACTGTTTGAATTCCAAAAATAAAATTGGACCGCAAAGGGTTAAGCTTCAGTCCTAAAATTCTTAATATCTACACATATTTCTGTAATGATGTCTAATGGTGCCCTAAACTTGCTAGACTAAATTCTGAGCACTCCATATCCACTTCTTTGTGTCCTTTTCCACGAACTTCCAACTACTGGCACCCTGGACTCTGAAATAATATTAGACACTTCCTTCTCCCCTACACACATAACTTTTTCTAGGGTGGCGGCAGAGTATTCTGCAGAAGTAACAATTTTCCCAAAAATCTTTGTTCTGAAGAAAACACTTGAAGTAGAGAAATATGAAAGTTTAAAGAAAAGTCTAAGAAATAAATGAAGAGAAAACATGAGAGAAAGATGTTCAGTGGCAAGAGGTTCTGGATGAGAAGAACTGATGAAGTGAATGGTTTTACAATGGAAGAATACCAAATGTTCTTAGAGGGAAAGGAAGAAACAGATTACATTACAGGTGAAAATAAAATGTATATAAATGTGTGCAAGAAAATCAAGGAGCAACTACCTCAATGTGAACTTAAAACTATCTTTCAAATTTAATCTTCCAACTTGCACACTACACTCCAATCATCCCAACTATTCTTTATAGGCCTATACAAAGCCTTTGTTTTCATGTCTCATTATCTTTGTTCATGTAATTCCTTGCATTTAAGATTGTCCTTCTCATCCTGACCAGTTTGGCTCAGTGGATAGAGCGCTGTCCTGAAGACTGAAAGGTTCCAGGTTCGGTTCCGGTCAAGGGCATGCACCTTGGTTGCAGGTACATCTCTGGTAGGAGGTATGCAGGAAGCAGCTGATAAATGTTTCTCTCTCATCGATGTTTCTAACTCTCTATCCCTCTGCCTTCCTCTCTGTAAAAAATCAATAAAATATATTTTTAAAAAAGACTGTCCTTCTCCACTAATCTCCACATTATTATATTTTACCTATAACTCATCTAGGTAATCTCTTCTTTGTTTTTCATAGTTTTCTGAAACAATAAGTCTTTCTGTAACTCTCTACAACCCATCATTTTCTACCTCTGTATTTATATAATATATCAATCACCCAAGGGGAATAGCCAGGCCAATTCATCTTGTTATCCTACAGCAGTGCCGTGTACACAATAAAAAGACTTGATAAATAACTGTTAAATGAATTAAATTTAAGGATAAGTATCTGTAAACTCTACAATTAAAGATAGCTATTTGTTAATTTAAGAGCTCATATCTTAAATGTAAGTATACCCATGTCTAAGCATTGGAATAGGAGAGTACCTAATGTGAAATCCAAGCTGGTTAGTTATTAATGATTCTAGTAAATATTGAATAACTTCCATGTAACAAATTAATATTTAGCTTTAAACAAAAAAGTATGAAGATATCTAATGGCTTAATTTTTCTACAAATAGTCACAAAATATAATACTAATTTATTAAAAATAAAACATAGTGCCATTAATATTTATTATCCAAAAACAAAATGAATTTTTAAACATACCTTACATGTTATCTTAAGTCTTGTAATCTACCTATGATCCTCTCTAGAACATGGTCAGGTACTATAAATTATTTTATTGTTGTTCTCTGAATAATATATAATTTTTTTCCCTCAGTAAGTTCAAATTAAGTAATATAATGTTCATTATGGTCAGAAGGTCTAAACAATAGAACGTTTATTAGGGTGAGCAGGTCTAATACTTGACAATATGTGTCTAAAACTGCTAGATTGTCTTCTAAACATTAGTGATCCAGTCTTGAACTCCTAGGCATGGGTCAGGAAGAACAGACGGAGGGGATATTTAAACACTGCTTGTAATTTTGTCTCCACCCTTCTGTAGCATAGGTCTAAGTGTCCATGTCTAGTATGTGTTCTGAATAGCACCTTAGACAACCATGATGCTTATTCTGAGGAAGGATTTATTTTCCAAAATCTCAATTTTTCCTTGCTTTAAATTTTCAATTCCAAATTAAATATCCTGAACAATAATACTTGTTTGTTATGATATTAAACCTAGAATTACGAAACTAGTCCATCATTAGTATTATGTTACAATTTTAATATATCCTTTCTTAATATAAGATTTTACATCAAGTTTAGTCAAGTTACTTTAAATATTTAAAACTGATTAAAATTCTAAACTAATCAACAGATAAATGTGCAATATTTTGTTTTCTAAAGGAATTCCAAAAAAAGTTTATTAGAAACCTTTAAAAAGTAAAAATCACTTCATAACAATATACGTAAATCCAGAAACCACCAATTATACACAATTAGATATTTTTTTAAAGTTGTGACTATACAAAGTGGGGTAAAAGTAGGTTTATAATTGTTCATATGAAAAGTAATACAATAAGTAATAATGTAAGAATGAACTCTGTATTTTGCATTCTCAAAACTGTAAACCTACTTTTGCCCACCCCATAGAAGATTATGGTTATAATGGCTATATTGCAAGCATGTAATAAGTTCATTTACTGGTAAAGCATAAATAATTTATATGGTATAAAATAAATACATTAAATAATTTTTTTTAAAAAACACTCCTAAGTGCCCTGAAAGTTATATAAGTCACATAGGGTCAGATAGTAACAGGAAATATTTGATGAAAGTTTGATAATTTAAAGATAGCTATCCCTACCAAATCAGAAACTAAAAACTCTATGAGAGACGTAGAGCAAACAAGTAGATAAAAAGAATCACCGGTAAGATGCTAATGGTATGTTAAATTCATTTCCAGGTGAAGCCACTCCCAATAAAGTATTCCCTTCATAAACAGAAAGTGGGATTGAGAAATGATTTCTAATCTAGGAAAGAAAAATAATAATATTTAGAATCATTAATCTAATAAACTAAAGATATTTAAAATATATTCCACATAAACACCCCAACAAAAGATCAAAGCAATATTTACCTTGCTTATATAATTAAGAAAAGAAATAAACATGTAATTATTATCCTAAAAATATAAAATATACCTACAAACAATTATATTTACCTTTGGATAGATAAAAACAAACTGGTTATTAGGAATAATTTCTTATCCTTCTATATCTTACTAATATCCTCTAATTTTAAAAATTCATACTGAAAACTAAGATTAAATGGAGTCTTAAATTCACTATATTTTATTTGTATATCTATTATTTGCTCCACCTAGTCACAAATAGAAATACATTTTGATTTCTAAAAATAATACCTATATAAAACTTAAAATTAATGTTTAACTACTTAATGAAATTTTAAAAATCAACAAGGACAGCCCAACAGTCATCTTTTAAAACAGTTAATTATAAATCATAAATGAAAGAAAAGGAATTTATGCTTTCAGCCATAATGGAATAACAGGGATCAGATATACCTTCTCAAACTAAAAACTAAACAATGATTTTCAGACACTGGTTAGACAGCAGCAGAGAAAATAAAAATATAAACAAAATCCAGTAAGAAAAGCCCTAAAACTGCTCCATCTTGCTGCCTGGATAGTTCTGAAGCTATTGTATAAGAAAGGAGAAGTCAAACAGAGCTAAGTAAACTATCTAAGGCATAGGAGGGAACCTTGTTTCAGCCAAGGGCCATTTGGATATTTATAACATCGTTCGCAGGCTATACAAAATTATCAACTTAAAAATTAGCCTGCTGTCTTTGGTAACACATTTAATTAAACTCACCCCTAAAGCCTTGGCAGGCCCAGGCCAAATGATTTTGCAGGCCTTATACGGGCGGGTGGGCCAGGTGTGCCCCCTGCCTTCGTTTACTCCTGTGAATGTGCTAACCCAGGGGAGGGCAAACTTTTTGACTCGAGGGCCACAATGGGTTCTTAAACTGGACCAGAGGGCCGGAACAAAAGCATGGATGGAGTGTTTGTGTGAACTAATATAAATTCAAAGTAAACATCGTTACATAAAAGGGTACTGTCTTTTTTTGTTTTTAGTTTTATTCATTTCAAACGGGCCGCAGTTTGCCCACGGCTGTCAGCTAATCAGTACTGAAGTGAAGTCTTGAGAGTAGGGCACACTCTTAAATCTCGGGATTCTAAGGCTTGGTAAAGATCTACCTAAAATGGGCAGGCAGAACAATTTCTGGTGCTGACACATAGTTTCTTTTCTCACCAACCATAGTTGCTTGGATGTATGGATATATATACTTTTTATCAACTTTAAAAAGCTTTTTCTGTCATTTTTTTCTTCAAATGACCTTGTTTAGTACAGAAGGTATTAGTTGCAGTGACTTGCTAATTAGCCCTGAACTAAAAGGCTGCTGAATCCCACCTAAAAAGTTTAAAAGTAAGGACCGAGAGAATCACTTTCCAAGTAACATAACTATATTGGAGAATAAAGTTCAAGAGTACAAAAAGAAATATATGTCAAGCAAGGTAAAATTCACAATTTTAGGTATTCAATAAAAATTAATAGATACATATAAATGTTAATGAAATAAATATTAATAAAAGGAAACAGCCCAGCTGGAGTGGCTCAGTGGTTGAGCATCCACCTATGAACCAGGAGGTCATGGTTCGATTCCTGGTCAGGACACATGCCCAGGTTGTAGGCTCAATCCCCAATGTGGGGTGTGCAGAAGGCAGCCGATGGATGATTCTCTCTCATCACTGATGTTTCTATCTCTCTCCCTCTCCCTTTCTCTCTGAAATAAATAAAAATATATTTTAAAAATAAATAAAAAGGAAACAAATCAGATGTAATATACATGATAGAATTAGTAGACAAGGACATTACAACATCAATTAGCATATTCCCTCTTTATTAGATAGGACTAGAGGCATAGTGAATGAAATTTGTGCATGGGGGCGGTCCCTCAGCCTGGCCTGCACCCTCTCCAATCCAGGACCCTTTGGGGTTTGTCCGACTATTGGTTTAGGCCCGATCCTAAGGTTCGGGCCTAAACCAGCAGTTGGATATCCTTGCGGGCCTGGTTGCCCCACGCAGCCTGCTGCTCGGTCATTTGATCACCCTTACTAACGCCCCTGCCGGCCTAGTCTCCCCATGCAACCTGCTGCTCAGTCGTTTGGTCACCCCTCACTAACCCCCCTGCCTGCCTCGTCGCCCCACGCAACCTGTTTGGTCATCCGATTGGTTGCAATGGTCACTTAAGCTTTTATATATATTCAATATGTTCAAAGTTAGGGGAAATACTGAGTGTATAAATAAAGGACATGGAAAATATACATAAAAATGCAAATTGAAATTCTAGAGATAAAAATACATTGGGTGTAAATGAGAAAAGATTGGACACTGAAAAAGAAAACTGAACTTTAAGACATAACAATAGAAATTATCAAAATGAACACAAGGGAAAAAACTAAAAAAATAAAGAAGAATAGAGCATTAGTGAGCTGTGGGGCAGACTTAAACACTAATAATGGTCAGTGAAGAAGAGAGGGGAAAGAGAAAAATTATTTGAAGAAAAAAAATGACAAAAAAAGCTTTTTAAAATTGATAAAAGTATATATCCATACATTCAAAAAACTTAAATCCAAGTACAAGAAACAGAAAGTAAAACTTCACTAAGATTCATCACAACCAAATTACTTAAAAACAGTGATAAAGGGCAAAAATATTAAATGCATATAAAGAAAATATCAACACTTTTCTAAAACAGGAAAGATAAAAAATATCAGGGTTAGGGGGAGGAGACAGGAAGAGATTAACCAAAGAATATTTATGCATGTATGCATAACCCATGGACACAGACAACAGCAGGGAAGGCCTTGCAGGGAAGTGGGATGGATGGAAGCAGGCAAAAAGGGAGAAAATGGGAGACATCTGTAATACTGTAAACAACAAAAAAAAATTAAACAGATAAAAAATAACAGCAAGTTCTGGTCAGAAACAACGTAATCCAGTCAACAACTGAATAACTTCTTAAAAGTACGAAAAAAAATTAACCTATCAATCTGTATTTCTATACCTGGTAAAAATAACTTAAAACATAAAAGTGAAATAAAAATGGAAACAATTCATGGACAAATTTCATGAGAGAGACAAAATCACTAGAAGAGTTCACTTAAGAAGTAACAAATATTCTGAATGGCCCTTACTCATAAATTAAGTGAAACTATATTTAAAAAACTTCACAGAAGAAAAATGTTACAAGAAAACTCTACACCAATATTCCTCATGAACATACATGCAAAAACTATGAACACGGTTTTAGCAAATCAAACTAACAATGCATCAAAGGGTTAATAATACTTCATGAATAACTGGGATTTACACTGGCAATGCAAGGTTGACTTGAAAATCCTGCCTTAAGCATCTTCCCCCTGGTGGTCAGTGCGAGTCATAGTGACTGGTTGTTCTGCCCTTCAGTTGATTTGCATATTAGCCTTTTATTATATAGGATAACAATTAAAACTCAACTAACATAACTTACCATATTAACAATATTTTTAAAAAGATCCTCTCAATAAATACAGAAAATAATTTGAAAAAATCATGAGAAAAATTCTCACCAAATTAGAAGGGAACATTTTCAACCTGAGAAAGGGTAACTATAAAACAAACCAACCAACCAACACACACAAAAAAGGCAAAACAAAATAAAATCCCTCAAAACATACTCAATGGTAAAACAGTAGGTACTTTCCCCTTAAAATTGAGAACAAAGCAAAAATGTCTGCTTTCATAATTCCTATTCAAATTGAACTAGAGGTTCTAGCCAGCACAACAGGCAAAAAAATAAAATAATATGCATCTAGGTTAGAAAGGAGAAAGTAAAAATGTCTTTAAGACACCAGAAGTAAACATATTTAAAAAGCCACTAAAACTAAAATGTGCAAATAGTAAGTTTGCACAAGTTAATATAAAAAGTAACTGTACTTCTCCTAGCAATGAAGAATCAAATTAATATGCAAAAATTTCATCTTTATCCAAAATTTTGAATAACAATTGAAAATTAGAGTCTAAAAGTAAAATGGAAAAGGAAACGACTAAGAATAGCCCAAACAAACTCTGAAAAGAATAAAGCGGCACAATTTGTTTTACCTGATTTCAAAATTCAGAGTAAAGTACTAGTATTATCAATAGTGTGGCATTAGCATGAAGATAAACAGAGCAATATACAGAATAGAGAATTCAGAAATGAACCCACACAGATACGGTCAGTTTATATTGGACACTTATATTTATAAGTGTCAAAGCTATTTAATGGAAAAGTAATAATCTTGGATGGAACTTATTAGCCAGACATATTGGAAAAAAGTGAACTTCAACTCTTTCCTCATATCATAGACAAAATGGTATGTAGTATATTTATTACTACTCAACAATAAGCAACTGCATATAACAACATTGATAATAAAAGTTGACACATACAAAATAATGCCTAGTAAAAGAAGCAAGACTCCATTCTGTACTCCATTTCAGTTACATAAATTTTATATTGTGTAACTAAAATACAATGAGAACATGTCAGTGGATGCCTGGGAACGGGGAAGTAGAGAAAGAAGAAACATTTTGGTGAGATAAATATGTTAATTACTTTGACTGTGATAAAGATCTCATAGGTGTATTTTTGTGTAAAACTCAACTTTAAGGGTATGCAACTTATTGTACATCAATTTTACCTCATTAAATCTACTAGAGGCCCAATGCACAAAATTCATGCAAGAGTAGGCCTGCCTAGCCCTGGTTGCCAGCATCGGCTTCCCTCTGGCAACCGGAACCCAGACTTCCCTCCAGCCGCTGGCAGGCACCTGGGACCCAGGCGTCCCTCGCAGCCCCTGCTTCGTCCAGAAGGTCGTCCAGTCTAATTAGCATATTATGCTTTTATTAATATAGATATAAATTTTCTCTCACCATATTTTTTAATTAAAACAAAAGGATATATACATACTATAAAGACCCCAAACAAAATATTGATGAGTTGTAGTTTTTTACAAAATACTCCATAAAAAGATTTTACAAAATAGTCTTATACAAAAATTATAAATATAATGAACAAACTCCTATCACTGCTCATATTAGAGTAGTACAATTACTGGTAATGATTCTTCTTTTTGATATTAGTTACACTGCTATTATAATTTGTATGCTTTTGGTAGCAATTTGCTTTATTTTATTTTATTTTTTTATTAGCACACAAATATGCATATGACCCCAAAAAAACTATCATTTCGTACCTGCACGGGTGAGCGAACTGTTACTTTCTTATTTCCTTCCACTGCATCGATTTGACAAACAATAGATCTTTCAACTCCAGATTCTCTGTGCCTTACAGTGTACAGTCGTCGTCCCACTTTTGTTAAGGGAATTTTATCAGCAGTAGAGTGGTTAGCAGGTGCTAAATTGAATATATATGTTTGAAAAGTTTTATTGTAAATCATCATATGTTAATTTTAAATAGATGTTAAGCATCAGAAACATCAGATGATTTCTTAAGGTTATGAATATATAGTCACTCAAGTCTTTGGATTTAAGATTATACAAAGGGATTATACAAAGAGTAGTTTTTTGTATAGACATAATGTATACAAAGAGATACTGTAAGAAACCACAATGCATTTCCATCACATTTATTTAAAACCTTCAAAAGACTTTATAAAAAAATTGTTTTAATAGAAAAAAAATCTCATTCAGTAGTAGTTTGACCTAAGATAACACTTATGAACAAAAAAGTTTCATAAGCCTTTTCAAAACAATGAGAAGAATTTTTATAAAATACATGAAAGCATCTCAGATTTGCTATTATAATAACCAGAGCCTAATACCTTCAGGCAATCTTTGGCAATTACCAAGGTAGCTGCAATTTTTCCATTGTTAATTTTCTCAGCATGTGGCACTTTGTGACATGTAAGATTTGATTAAATAAAATTTTATACAAATTACCTTATATATATACATATACTGTATTGAGGGATGAATCCTTTACATTATTTACATTAATCCCCCCACATCATTACATGAAATGTTACTTCAAAAACAATAGAGGTAAAACTGACAAGAACAATTAAATGACAATGCCTGGACAACACCTGAAACCTATCCACTTTTATGCATCATTTCTTGATTAGAAGAGCACTTGTTATCAGTTTTGGTACTCATACTCAAAGTCTAATTAACCTTTCAAATGTGCTCCACCGTCACTATTTAAATGTCAAAGTATCAGAAAGTGGTATGGGTGAGGCTTTGGGACTATTTAACTCACTGTGAGTATAACAGATATAATGATAATATTTTTTTAAAATATACTTTATTGATTTTTTACAGAGAGGAAAGGAGAGGGATAGAGAGTTAGAAACATTGATGAGAGAGAAAAATCAATCAGCTGCCTCCTGCACACCCCCTACCAGGGATATGCCCACAACCAAGGTACATGCCCTTGACCGGAATCGAACCTGGGACCCTTCAGTCTACAGGCCGACACTCTATCCAATGAGCCAAACCAGTTAGGGCTATAATGATAATTTAAGAATTTATTTGCTTTCACTTCTATGAAAATGCAAAACTTCTGGGAATCAGAAAGGACCAAAAAAAAAAAAATTCCACTTCAATAAACAACATAAAAACCATTTATAAACCCATAACCATTAAAATGTGTCATTTCCATAAATTCAAACCTCATTTCGAATTCATTCAGCAGCACTAAGAACGAGATCTGATATTTTTCTTCCCCAAAATATAAAGCAGTAAATTACCATGCTCTAAAGAAAGCAGTGAATAAAGAAAGTTAGAATTTGGAATACAAAAATATAGTGACAATAGCAATGAAAGTCCTACAAACAAAGAAACAAAATTTCCAACATATTAGGAAGGAGATAAAAAATATGTAAGATATCAGAAATGAGTAAAATGGAATATAAAATATAACTTAAAAGAAATGAAAGCCCTAGGAAGGTAATTTATCACTTACTAAGAAGAATGAAGAAAAGTTTGCTGCTTAGGCTGGTCATTGCATTGAAATGATCATTGTCTTTTGTTCGGACATAATCCATACTTAAACTTTCCTCATTTTTCAATATATATGACTTTGCCACTGGAACGTTGAGCACACTAAAAGAATCACTTGGTGAAACAGAGATAGTAAGTCCAAGAGAATTTAAAATCATAAATGGCGCTAGATCCCTCATGAAGACAGTTGAAGATCCAGTGGCAGCTTCTGTAAATGCCTAATAAGGAAGAGTTATCATAAGTAAAATAAAATGAAATGTGGAAAACAAATGACAAGCACAACACTAATGAACATATGACAAATAACTAAGTTAATAAAAAACTTTTATTCAAGAAAAGAGAAGGGTTTAACTCAGAGTAGTACAGCCACATTTAAAGTTTCAAATGTCTTTTCTTACCTTGACTAAATTATTTAACATTACAAGACCACATTTGGATAATGTAATGTTTAGTTGGTCTTTTGAATAGAAACTGATGACAGTTTTATATTCTGGCACTCTGTAATCTTCTTCAGTATCTGACTCAACAATAGCCTTTTTTGCTTTCTTTTTCATCTAAAATGAAATGTAAATTATAGAAATATAAAGAAAATTTGTTCCTGGAAGCACAATATAACTCATTTTACAAAGGAAAAACAAACTTTAGATAAATCCCAATAACATTAAGAGAGAGCAAAAATTTTTATTACTTCCACTGTCTTATTGGAATTACTTGGAAATCAACCAAATAAGGTCACCTAGCACAAGAGCAGTATTAGGGGAAGAATTCTTCTCATCCTCAGTAATACTAAAATGACAAGCACATTTTAGAAGGGGAAAAAAAAAACACCAAAATTACTAAATGCATGTGGCATCAGAATGAAAATGAAAGGCACATACTTCATAGCAAATGAAAATTTAGAGTGAGAAAAATTATTTAGTCTATTGGTCATGCTATAAATAAAGAACAGAAAATCAGGGACTTAAAAAGTCCAACAATAGTTGCAGAACAGTGCCACTAGAACCCAGAACTCATGAGAAACAATAACATCTACCTCTTTTTAGGATTCACAGATCCAGGGCCCATGTATATTCCAACCTAAAAACCACCAAATAAGTTCTTTTATCTACTAGTAAATCCTTTGTCTGAAAATGTGGAAAATCAAATGCAGTGATCCAATACCAAAAGCTGGACATGCCAAGCTGGTCACCTTTGTTGTTACTTTAATTGACTTTACACCACTGAAAATCTGTCTGCAGGTTGACTGAATTGTCATTAGGGAGGAAACGTGCCAGTTATTTCATAGTCTCCTGCTTCAGAAGCACAATTTCATCCATCTAAAGGTCCTGATTCTTATGATTACATTAAATTCAATTATTTTAAACATATTTCAAACAAATAATATGTTTTCTTCCATATACATATCCTTCAGAGACAAAGGAAACACGGGTTAAACAGCAACCTACAAGAGGCTAGCAGCATTTTACATGAGTAGGGTCTCTGCAACCAGATTCGCACCCCACTTTAAAGGTATTACTTTATTGAAGCCCTTTCTAGTGTCAGTCCTTTCACATGTTACAATGAAGTTAGAAACTGTACAGTCTTCAGACACTTGTTGTAAGAGTGAAAGCAAAAGTACATCACTTAGATGTCTACTACATAATAAATACTACATAATTATTTGTATTTGAAAAAGCACAGGAGGGCACTGGCCTTGGATTTGAAAATTACATGCACAGGTCAAACAGGGAAGCATACAGCAAAGCTGATAATGAAAAATGTTGAACTTTGTTGAGATTGAAATTGGTATGTTTGGTATGGTGTAGATACCCTCAATTTTAAAATCATTTTTAGACTTCAAATATACCTTGATTCCAAGATTCCATGGTCTAAATTCCTCAGTCTGGTCAATTTCTAAAGGTTCAAGCAAAGGTTCCCATACACCAAACATTTCATTGTAATAATGCACCTATAATGAGAATTTGTAATTTTTTTAATAAGGCATTCTGGAATTTGCTAAAATGATCTTCCATGTTTTTTAGTACTACCATTCCTTTTGGCTGTGCTATTTCTCCTATATAAAAACCATGCCATTCATTAGTTTCCTACATTCATTCCCTCTGCACTTTCCTGACCTGATTAACATAATAATTTAGCTTCCATAATTTAATCCAGATAAAACTCTCTTTTAATCATGTTTCCTTAACTTCCAGGCCAGGCTAACCATAAAAGACTGTGTTCCTCTATCATATATTATTGAAATTTTTTAACATGTCTGTCTGCCTCCACTGATTTTTCGAAAACAAGTAACACAGGATTCAATGAGTGTTTATTTACTTGAATTGTTTGAACCTTCTGGACATCCTAGATTAAATCCTCTGGAAAGTATAGAAAATTCTAGCCAAAATTTGAACAAAATTTAATCTAGTCAGTCATATCTACCTCTATTAATATATAACTGTATTAATACAAATAATATAGCAGCTTATAAATCTCCATATTTTTTTGATAAGGGTGGATTATCAGATTAGTTTCCACTAGACAAACTTGATTAATAATTTAAACCAAAGTAGCTTTGGGGATGATTCTATATAGATAAATTCTGAAGCAAAATGTACATTGGTTCAAAGCAAATTTCTTGTATAAAATACAAAAAATTTAAAGATCTTAGTGGATTCTCACTACAGTGTAAAGATTATATACAAGTATATATATAATAATAATATTATTATATAAAAGTATAAGACATCTTCTAATTCTTTATATTACTCTTTTAGAAGAAATTCAGAAATAGTTTATTTTTCTTTTAAAGGAAGAAAGGTATTCCATTAAATTCCTAAAAACAAGAATTTTGAATCTAATCAACAACAATCTATTAATCTATCATGTTTAAATTGATCAAATCAACTGAAATATAAACTTAGTGTGGACATGTGGTCTAAAGTTAAAGTACAATAGGGCCTCAAGTAACATTTTGTTCAACAATGTTTTGTTACCACTGATGAGATGTTGTAGGATTTTAACTCTTTTTCATATCAATTAGCTACAGTAAAACTGGTTTTGTCTTATGTCCTTTTGCTTAAAATGGCAAAACCTATCAATGACACTGAGGACTTACTGTATACATAAAACTTTATCAAAGGCATAAATCTGTAAACTTTCTTCCAAAAGGTTTCTGAGCCAACATCATATTTACAATATGCTTATTTAAATAAGATTCTAAAAATATTCCATATGTATCATTATTTGTTATAAAATCTTGAAAAAATACTATATTTACTTACTTCTAGCTCAAGCTGACAGTGGAGATTTATGAGGGAAGTCCAGTTTTTGCCTTCCCCTGAAAAACATGATTTTGCCAAAAGCATAGGTACTGTTCTATGACCAACCCCAGCCTCAAGAACTATGAAAATAGAATCAATGTTCATTTTTATTATCTCTCCTTTGGGTACCAATTCAGTTGTGGGAGCTATGTTTTTCACTTCATTTGGTTCTTCAAGAAACCACATTTTTAAAGTCTTTGTATCCTTCTTTTCCCATAAATGTGCTGTAGAAGAAGCAGTTTCTTGTGGGATGGTTTCCTTAGTTGTATAAAGTGCTGCAGTTATGGTAATCACAGTATTTATGATAACTGGTGAAACCTAAGGAAAAAAAATTTAAACTAATAAAAAATCTACTTATGCGGCTTTTAAAAATACATACTTCAAGGACATTTAAATATATTTGCTGAAGAATTATAATTAATGTTGAAATAATAATATTATTACTATGAAACCACAAATATAATTCCCTGCACAGGTGGGGTCCCTCGGCCTGGCCTGTGGAGACTGGGCTGAAACCAGCTCTCTGACATCCCCCAAGGGGTCCTGGATTACGAGAGGGTGCAGTCCAGGCCAAGGGACACCACTGGTGCACAATTGGGGCCAGAGAGGGACCATAGGACGTCTCCAGGGCATGTCCGGCCCATCTTGCCCAGTCCTGATCAGGGCCTATCAGGGCCAGCCAGCTGGGGAGGGACCGTGGGAGGGCTCCAGAGCATTACCGGCCAGTCTCGCCCAGTCCCGATTGGCTGGACCCCAGCAGCAAGCTAACCTACCGCTCTAAACATCTTCCCCCTGGTGGTCAGTGCACGTCACAGCGACTGGTCGAACAGTGGGAGGAACAATTAGCATATTAAGCTTTTATATAGAGAGATTTTTAAAACATAGCTTCTTTTTTGCTTACTTAACAATTAAAAGACTTGCTGTAATAACTGTTTATTTCTAGTTTATTAATTTTTTTAAAAGTTCACTAAAGATCTAAATGACAGACATTTTAACTTACCTTTAGTGTCAGCGATTTTAGTGATATATCAATCACTTGTGGATCTGTGCCTATCTGAGTAGCTTGATAGAACAAGTCACAGGGCTGCAAAACCTATGAGAAAAATCAGTAACACTAAATTACCATTGTTCTTAAAATAGTTTTATTTAAAGGCTTTCCTAGTAATAGCTAACTATATTAAATGGACAAATTATTCAAAACTGTTGAAAAATAAGTGACTCAATAACACACTTCTTACTTCCCTTTACTCATTATAATATCAAGTATTAATATGAGCAGTATTAATAAAACAATATGTAGGACTTCTTGAATATGCTTAACTATAGAAATATGTAAAATGTGTATTATATATTCCATGTTACTTACTACAACAAAAATTTTATTATGGCATCGTTTCCATTATAAAATTACAATGAAATAAATTAATCTATACAGAAAAAGCTATAAAAGATGAGATGTAAAAATTATAAATACATTAGATTTACTTAATAATTCTTAATGCAATTATAAATTAGCTGAGTTTTTCTTAACTGTGGTAAGCAGGATTCTGCCCTCTAGGACCCAGTCACCATATTCCTTCCAAACACAAAATATATTCACCTCCTCCTGAGGTTCCTAACAGTCTCATTCCATTATAGTTCAAAGTCCAAAATCACATTTAGGTATCATACATCATCATACCTCTATTTCATCTATAGCTCTCATTGATTAAAAAATCCAAAATCTCATCTATTTCTTACCAGCTCAAAGTCTAAAACTAAATCAGCTCCAGGTCCTGATGAAATTCCTGGGTATAATCTATTAAATGTAGCTGCTAGGGCACAATTTCTCTCCCTTTATGGAATTGTGAAACTAAGATGAGTTATCTGCCCCCACCATTCCTAACACAGAATGGTGGGACAGACATAGGCTAACAATTACAGACATTCCTAATCAAGCTGGAAAAATGGAAGGTAAAAAGGAGTCACTTGTCCAAAGCAGTTCTGAAATCCAGCCAAGTAAATGTTTCTTGATTAGGTTTCAAAACCTAATAACAATTATCTGTGGCTCTCAGCTCCACCCTGAGTCATTCTTCCTTCTTTATAAAAGGTAGCACAAATACACAGCTGACTAGTTGCTTTTTTATCCTCCTGCTTCCTGCCAGTAGAATGTTGGGGGTTCAAGACACCATTGTTCAAAGCTTTCTGGGAGTACATATCGAGCCATCCCTATAGTTTCCAATAATATGTCTTTTATCTTCTTTCTAAGTCCTCGTTAGCAGTGTCCTCAAAGACCATGTTTCTACCAAAAGTCTGATCGACACAAGTTAGGCCTTCTCTATCATGCTATTCAAAATTCCTCCAGCTTCTGCATACTACCCAGTTCCAAAGATGCTCCCACATTTTAAATAATTGCTACATCTTATTTCTGGTAAAAAAAAAAAAAATCTGTATTCTTGCCCTAACTGGTTTGACTCAGTGGATAGAGCGTCAGCCTGCAGACTTAAAGGTCCCAGGTTCGATTCTGGTCAAGGGCATGTACCTTGGTTGCGGGCACATCCCCAGTGGGGGATGTGCAGGAGGCAGCTGATCGATGTTTCTCTCTCATCAGTGTTTCTGACTCTCTATCCCTCTACCTTCCTCTCTGTAAAAAATCAATAAAATATGTATTTTTTTAAAAATCTGTATTCTTCTCCTATTACTGAGTAACAAAGTACCATAAACTTAGTAGCTTAAAACAATACTAATTTATTTTTCCTCATTTTCATGGGTCAGGAATCTTGCTGAAATCAGTTATCAGCCGGTTGCATCTTTATCTTGAGGCTTGACCGAAAAAGATCTGCTCCTGGGCTCATTCAGGTTGTCAGTAGTATTCATTTCTTTGTGGCCCTAAAAATGAGATCTGCATTGGCTTGTGCTGTCAGCCAGAGACTGCTTTTGAGACCTACTAGTAAGTTGCTCATAGTTTCTTGCTATGCAGCCTTCCCCACAGTATAGCAGCTTACTTCTTCAATGCCAGGATTTTAAAAATTAGGTTAGGCCCATCCAGAATCTCTCTTTAGTTAACCCAATTAACTGATTAACCTAATTATATTTACTGATCCTATCCACACTCAAAGGGAGTGGACTACACTGGGCACATGCAACAGGAGGTAGAAATCTTCAGGGCCATTTTAGAATTCTGCTTATATTAAAAGTGAAAAATAAATCAGAACAAATATGATAATCAAATTCATTCTCCAAAGAAATCACATTAAAATTCACTATTGTTCTAATAAATCAGCAAGAGCAACTAGTACATGACTTTCATATTCAATATATTATTTCTTGAAACTTCAGGGATAGGAAATTATAACCATATTACAATACATAATCCACAACTTCCAACATAAAATTTGTGTTATATCTTCATCTTAGGTAAGGCAAAAAACAAAACCAAAAAGTACTATTATAAATACATAAAAAAGTTTCTAACTCCTTTCCCAAAATAAGTATGAACGTTTGTTTTGTTCCTTATCCAACTCCTTTATTTTCAAGTCTAATTAAGTTCCCTAGGATTAAAAATGCAGCTGATCGTCTGGCCGGTGTGGCTCTTTGGTTGAGCATCAACCTATGAACCAGGAGGTCATGGTTCGATTCCATGCCCGGGCTGCAGGCTTGATCCCCAGTAGGGGGCGTGCAGGAGGCAACCAACTGATGATTCTCTCTCATCACTGATGTTTCTATCTCTATCTCCCTTTCTCTTCCTCTCTCTGAAGTCAGTAAAAATGTATTTTTTTAAATGCAGCTGATCCAACATGTTAGTGACAAAACTACACTACAGTCAAGTTGTATACAATACAGTCTATTCAGATCAATTGAAGACATAGAAACATTATCTTAAAATGGAATTATTTCCCTACTAGTATTATTTTATTGTCTCCAACTACATCCATTGTAATTTTAGTGCTACTTTTATTTTTTTTCTTTCTACTCTAATTCTCACCATACAGCTCCTGTATTATGATTTTCACTATTAATGCATTATTTCCCTGCTGCTATTGCTTCCCCTTCAAAGAAGCAATCTTGGGCTATCCAACATCGATAGAAGCCTATAAGAGCTCACTATACATTCCCTACTTTACAAACACTATCTTGGTGGTGGGAGGACTGCCCCAAGTTGAGAACCACAGAATAACGAGAAAAAGTCAGAGTATATAAGTGTAGATGTTGGAAGGTGGGTAGATATGGGGTGGGAACTTGTGCTCTCTGGAACCCAGGTTCTCTGCACATGTTATACCTTCATCCTGAAACACATTCCCATGCCTCCTGTTTCAGTTATGCTGGCTAATATCTACTCATCTTTCAGGCATTGGCATAAATGCCACTTCACCTGACAAACCTCCCCTATTTACACTTCTCCAGAGAAATCACATACAGACTCAAAGAAAATTATCATCTAAATATCCTGGATTTTGAGCTGAGACTGTAACCCTTGAGGTGGAGGTGAGAAAAGACAAGCATGGATTATCAGTATAGACAAAGGAATAAAACATTTAGTGAACTGTGGGAAGAACCTCTGGTTGTCTTGATATCTGTTCTTTTTCTTCCCCACAGTAATTAATACAAGATTTATCTGGGCACAAAATAACACACACACACACACAAAAAAAAAGGAGGAGGAGGAAGGAAGAGGAAGAAGGGGAAGAAGACACATTCTCCAGCTGTTTTTGCAGATAAGTATGGTCACCTAGCTACATTCATGCCAAATGATGTGAGTAGAAGAAATATATAAAATTTCTAAGTATTCACCTAAAAGGGAATCAGTATGCCCTCAGTTTTCTGTATTTTCTCTTTTCTTAGTGATGAGCCATCAGCCTTGCAAACTAGAGAATTATAGCTTACATTTCTATGTTGATAATTTTTAGAACATTTATGCTTCTATTATTCCTATAAAAGACTAAACATTTTTATAAGTGTTTTATAAGAGTACTAGGAGTCAGACAGTTCACTTGAAAAGATTTCTTTGAAGAAATAAATTTTAATCAGTTATGAAGAGGAGGAAAGTCATTAATATACAAATGGGAAGTATTTCAAAGCAAATGGCTAATGTTCAAATGCATTGCATGGAGAAAAGCAAACACATACATCAAAGGAAAAGTGTCCAGATTGGAGAAAAATATGAAAAAATGGCAAAATTGCAACATCTCAAACAAGTGGTAGATAGTTTTCAAAGCAAAAGAGCAGTGTGAAACTGACACGGATAGTATATGCGAGTAAGGTCTCAAAAAAAGTGAAGATGAAGGCAGCTTCTTAGTGAGACAATGCCCACAAATACATAAAAAAATGAGGAACAACTGGAAGAATGAAAAAGAGTTTCAAAGTGGTTTAATAATAATCCAGATTAGGCTCTCCAAAAAACAAAAAATAGTACTTTATAAAGAAAGATTAGAAAGTCTGTAGGTAGGTTCCTAAAGTGGTATTTACAAAAATATAAAACAGATAACTAAACAGTAAACTCACAGTAGTGATTCTGTCTTTTCTCTTGTCAGGAAGAAATGGGCATGCTCTCATTTGGAGATCTTTAATAGCAGCAGTCATTGTATTGTTTTCAAGGTCACCCTTGCAACAAATTTCACACTGTGTTGTAATGACTAAGGCAGGAGCATCATTTCTTGTCATATCAGCCACAAACACAATTTCAGGATTTTTAATAAGAATATTCACTTCCCACTTTTCTTGTATCTGTGCAGGTACTAAAATATAAATAAAAATAATTTAAAATATTTATAAATCTTTGCTACACATTTTATGAAAAATCTATTATTTATGGGAAAATGTTATTTTCTTTCTAAGTAAAAACTAAAGGCATCTTAGGTCCCAAAGAAATCTATAATGTAAGATTTGAAGAAAAGAGTCATAAGTACATTTTAAAATGTGGGGGGAAATCGCCACCATGGCAGAGCTGAAAACTAACCCCGTTTCTAACTCTCAACATGATACTCTTTCCACTGCACCACAAATAAAAATGTAAAAGACAGTAGAAAACTACAAATAAAACAAAAAGTAAGAATGTTTTAAGTTGAAATACTATCTTTAATAATGAAAATAAGTGGTTGGTTCATTATTTCTCCCTGCAGGTTTTCTTCCAGCAAATTCTTTCAAATGATTGTCTGAAGTTAAGTACAAGTACTTATTCTAATACAGGTCTCATTAATTTTTGAACCCAATATATAGTTACACCTTGAAAAATATGTAAACTGCACATCCCAGCAGAAAGCACATTTTCCTCTTAAAAATAAAATTTTAATTTATTAATTCATTTAACCTCGTCGATTAGAACTGCTATTTTCAACCTTTTTCATCTCATAAACTAGAAACTAGAATTCTGCAGCATATCAAATATTTTTTGCCAATCTGACAAAAAAAGGGAAATAAATTTAATTCATTCGTATCAAACGGAGATTGATATGTTGGTTGTTGTCATTTTTTTACTTGACAATTTGAGAAAGGAGGTCAGTGCCCCTGATTAAATAGTCAGATATTTCATGTTTTAAAAATTCTTGTGGCACGCAGGTTGAAAATTGCTGATCTACAAAGCTAATCAAGGTAAGTGCTATTGTAACATTGATTAACATAGATATTAAATATTTTAGCTAATAACTAACCTTCTTCCTTAGCAGCCCATGCTTGAACATTGGTTTCTACAGCAGTGCCTGTGGTGTAGGCTTCAAGAAAGACATTTGCAACTGTCAGCAGAAATTCCACACTTGCACAAATATATGTTTCTTGAAGGACTACATCAGACATCCAACCATCTCTGATTTTCTTATACTTTACATCCATCATATCTTTTTTGTCAAATCCAACTGTCAATCCTATCATTCTGAAAAACACAATATTACTGTGAATAGCTTACAAATAACCAAACACACCAATAAAACCCAAAGACTACTTAACCCTTTCACTGACAGCCAACCAGCATCTAAAGTCAGTTATCATAGAAAGATCTCAAAGTACTCCAAATAATAATAGATTTACAAACTTCTGGAACATAACTGTTTTATAAATTAGTTAGTGTGTCTCTAAGAAATTATCAGAATTTGGAATCTCAGCTGATTTTTCATATATTTCCCATTAAATTTTGAATTGATAATAATTTTGATAATATAAATTAATTTGAAAAAAACACAAAAAATTACACTGATTATTTTTATTTAATTAATCTATCAACCATCCAGCAAGAGCACATAACTGAAACAAGACATATTATGTCTTTAATTAATTAATTATTTTTGGAGAAAGAAGAAAGGAGGGAAGGTGGGAGGGAGAGAGAAAAAGATCGATATGAGAAACATCAATCCGTTGCCTCTCATGCACCCCGACCTGGGATCAAACCCGCAACCTGCGTATGAACCCTGACAGGGAATGGAATCTGCCGCCTTGGGATGTATGAGATGATTCTTCAACCAACCAAGCCACCCGGACATTTAAAATGTTGACTGGGAACCATGACTGCACTGACTTGAAAGCTCTGATGACATTAAGGATGTGCCCAAAAAATGAATGTGCAACTTTGGGAATAAGTTTTATAAAAAATATCAACCATATTTCAAGTAAAAATGCAGAACACTATTACCTAGGAGTTGCCTTCTTGACATGAGGCCTTTTATCGTCTAAAATACAATTTTTTAATGAGAAGGCAGAAAATACTGAGTCATCTGTATACATTTTTAAAGTACTTATTATATTCTCCAACTTAAATTCAGCAAGTGTCAGAGAAGGATCACGAACATCTGTAAAGGAAACCTGCAGAAGAGAAAATCAATATAAATTTTACACAAACACATAAATATGACACATTTTTTAATTATATACTTCCACATTCTCTATCTCCAAAGGGCTCACTAAGAAAGACCAAAAAATATATTGACTTTAATTAAAAAATTTAGTTTTCACATCACTAACTATAGCAAAGATAACTCATTTTAAAAGGGAAATGGTTAAAATTATTTTATTAGCAAAATGAAGAGATCAATAATTTTTCTCACAGGAACAGACACTGCAAAATGTACATAAAATATTAATAATTGGCATTTTAATAAATATTCACTATATAATTTTCATCAAGTAAAAAACAATATTTTTTTCCCTTAACTTACGTGTTCAGGACCTGGACTATACAGTATCATGGTGAGATAATCAGTTTTGAAACTCATATTTAGTGTTGTCTTAACTTGAGCAGCACATGAATGTACTTCTACCACAGCAGCTGTCACTACAGTTGTTCCTTGGAAAAATTAAAGTTATTAGATAAAAGAAAAAAAATCAGGAAAGCTAGAACTCATTAAAACAGCCTTAAAATATATTTAACAGAATTATTAATCCAATGTGTATAGAAGAGTTATAGTAGCAATAAAAGCAGCCATATTATACTAATTGTTAAAATTGGGTAATGGGTAAAAATTTCTAGAGATGAATGATTAAAATAATATATTTAAATGTCTATTTTACATCCTGCACATTTTAGACATTACCTTTGCACTGCCTATATTTTAAGTCCTTACCATGTATTTCCTTTATTGGTCCCATCTTCCTCTTTCCAGCTTTGCTCAGTTAACAATGATTACTACTAGGTTAACGTAGCTAATAACATTTAAATTCTTATTTACAGATTAAGTCTTCCATGTCTGATCAACTATAGCTATATAATAATTTTCAATGAAGACATTAATCGTTTATTATAATAGTTCTTCTGCTGCTACATTACAACTAGTACATCTCTCAAAAGAAAATCTCTTCTCACATGCTAACAATTTTTCAAAATCACACAAAATCTCCTCCACTTCTGCACCTGACTGTTTGCAGCAATTTCTCCCTTCCTAGGAACAGAAAGCATGTCTTTCTCTATATATCACTTATGGAAGGTACTTATAGTAGCCCCCCTTATCCACGGCTACGCTTTCTGTGGTATGTTTCCCATGGTCAACAAAGGTCTGAAAGTGTTAAATGAAAAATGTCAGAAATAATTCATAAGTTTTAAATTGTGCACTATTTAAGTAGCATAATAAAATTGTATGCTGACCCCTCCATCCTGCCCAGGATGTGAAATCGTACCTTTGTCCAGCATATCCACTATGTATATACTACCTTCCTGTTAGTCAATTAATAGTCCTGTCAGTTATCAGCTGGACTGTTGTGGTATCACAGACTTGTGTTCAAGTAACCTTTATTTTACTTAATATTGTTACAATTGTTCTATACTTTATTAGTTGTTGTTAATCATTTATTGTGGCTAATATATAAGTTAAATTTTATCACAGGTATATATCTATACAGGAAAAATCATAATACACATAGCATTAGGTACTAAGTTTCAGACATCCACTGGGGGTCTTGAAAAGTATTCCCGTGGTTAATGGGGAAATTACTGAAATTAATCCCTCATTCTATATATATATTATAGAATTTATGCTACTTTTCTTCTTGAAGACATTCTTCCACTTTTTTTTCTTAAGATATTCTGAATTTCTCTTTAATGAAAATGAAGTACTTTTTACTACACATCCCAGTAACAAAATATTTTGGGATTCCATTTCCGTGTACTCCTGGTTAGGCCCTTTGTTTTTGTATCCTATGTCTTCCTCTTTCCTGAATTCCTTCTTTTGCTAGAATATATTTTAAAACTAATTTATTCAGGAATGAGTATGAAAGAAGTAAACTTTGTGGGACTAAACATCTGCAAATTATTGTGTTTTCACATTTGGGTGATGGTTTGGCCTTACATAGAAGCCTAACTTCAAAATAATTTTCTTAGAAATTTGACTATATGGCTCCATAGTCTTTTATCATCTATCTATTCCATCCCATTCAGTTTTACTGATGACAGATCTAATTCCAATTACCTATTCTGTTTATGTTGGTTTCTTTCATGCTCAGGTTCTTGTGATTTTATTCATATCTGTCCAATAATATTTAACAGTAAAGGACTAGGTTGGTTATTCTAACAAGCGAAGATGGGGTTTCCTACAATGTTATAAATGTATGGTTGTTTGTGTGTTAGGATTCTCCTTGACTGATAAAGCTGTGTAAAAATCTCAGGGCTTTGTAAGGGTGGATTTTGTGAGCTAGTAGGTTGCTCTATAATATAGGTAGGTTTGGGGATCTCCCAAAATGCCAGAATGAGAACTTTGTTCTTGTGAAGCAAAATCATCCCAGCACCCCTAAGTGACTCTATTCTCTGTGTGATGCTAAACTTAGAACCCGTAAGGTTCCACATAGCACATTATAGCCAACATTGGATAAACAGCCTTTCTCCGTGATGATTCCCTCTGTTCTGTCCCTTCCATCTACTCTTTAAATATTTGTTGAAATCCAAAATTTATTCATGCTCATCCTCTCTTGACACCTCTAATACTTTGATATAGCTATTATCAATATAAAATATCTCATCTGGGATAAATGCTGCAATAGGAATAAGGGAGAAGAGGAAGGAAGGCGAAAAAAACTGAAAAAGGGGATCCATGTTGGGATAGATAAGCATAAATACTAAGGAATTTTGTCATAATAGGACTGAGAATTTTGAATCAAAGGGAAAAATCAACAGAACTAATAATAAACAATTTATTTTACTCCAAAACTAGAAATAGAGAATGGAAGGAAAGAAGAAAGGGGGTGGGGTGGGAGGGGAAAGAG